GCCAAAATAAATAAATTTATGAAAAAGAAAAAAAAAAAAAGAAACAGGTCTCAGCCTCTGACCCCTAGACCCACCAGGTCAGAATCCACATTTACAAGATCCTCAAGTGATTCGTGTGTACGTGAACATTTGAGAGGCCCCGAGCTAGCACATTCTGCCTGGATGTGTGCAGAAACCTTGGGCTGGGCCCAGCAGGATGTGGACTTGTGTTCGTGGGGTGCCTTGGGCAGCAGGGGCTGGAGGACTCGGGGGTCTTGCCCGCTTAGAACTGCCTGCTGAAACTGAGATAGAACAGTTTATCTCCCTGTGCTATTTCAAGTCAAATTGAGTAGCCTCAAATTTTATTTTTAAAAAGTTAGCCAGAGGTGAAACCAGAGCAGGCCTCCAATAAAGTGTCTTGGAAAAGCCACCATTTTCCATGTTTGCCCCGAGACTCTTCAGACAGGAACCGGAACCACTATAAGGACCACGATCCTAGTGCTTCAGATACCCGAACTTTCTACTGGCTCTGAGCCGCAAGGTTTGACAGTTTACACCTGGTGACATTTAGAGAACAATTGCTGAGAAGGCTGAAGGGGAGGAAGTATTCGGTATGACCTGACATTCCATCCTCAGGCTGATCGTTCTCTCTTTTGCCAATATACCATTTGTCTGTAAAACCCTTGGGCCAAAAATAGCTGCTAGGGCTTGGTGTCATTGTGGATGAAGGGCAACTGCCCCATTTCTTTGGCTTTCAGACACCTTCAAAGTGTCGCAAGGCAGTGTCGTCCCAGAGGAATTCGCACAGCTCTTTAAGCCCGAATCGCTGGCCCTGGGGGGCGGGAGATGGAGCCTTGGGAAGTGACCCCCTGATGCTGCCGCAGTGGACCTCTCTGGCCAGGGCCACACCACTTAGCGGCCAGGCCAGGCCACTCTCAAGAGTGAGAGGGGGCACCGTTCGCCATCCTGCTGGGTCGGCAGGCACAAGCCGGGACTGCCCTGGGCAAGACCCAGCCCTTGGCCAAGTCCCCTGGTCACTCGGGGACCTGGCTTCTTAGGTTGCTCAGAGGAAGGAAGCAGCAGAGAAGAGGTGAAGAGGACACCAGGTGCCACTTCCTAGGTGTCTGTGCTGGCCAGGACTCGCTGCCCACAGTGTGGTCGCTCGCTCCTGGTAAGGTGGCCTTCTCAAGGTCACCCAGCCAGCACGGTGCTTGTCCCCACTTCCCTTCGGGGCAGAGGCGGACAGCAGCTGGCGCTCCCTGGGAGTGGCGCAAACGTGGGGGATCCCCCTCTTCCTTGCCCTGGCTCGGCTCTGCTTTAGGCCTCCCCTCCCGCGCTTCATCATCAACTGCATTTTCAGCTGAAGTTCATTACCAAAATGGCGCTGGGCTCAGGATTCGGCCTGCTGTGGAAGGTGACACGGGGAGGGATGCTCGCTGTGGGCTGTCAGGAAGATGGGGCCTGGGCGGGCTTCTCTGTGCCCTCGGGGAGGGCCGGGGCGGGGCAGGGCCCAGGCTCCGCTGCAGTCACAGGTTCTCTAACCTGCCTGCTTCTCTGTGTGTGGTCCACAGCCCGAGACTGAGGACGAGAAGAAGCGCTTTGAGGAAGGCAAAGGGCGGTACCTGCAGATGAAGGCAAAACGACAGGGTCAAGCGGAGCCTCAGCCCTAGACGCCCCCTCCTACCGCTGGGGCCTGGAGCAGCCCCCAGCGTCTCATCATTTAGAAGTTACCCCTTGGCCAAAACCCCAGTTCACGTTGACAGCTGGTGTTGTGTGAAGTATTCGTCTCGCAGTGTTAACCTGTGTTCACCTCTCCTGGAAACCTATACACCAAAGCTTTATTTATATCATCCCCGTGTAAGTGCTCCACAGTATTGTCCCGACGCCCCAGGGCGTTCCCTGGAAGCCCTGGGGGATGCTGGGGCGCGCGCTGTACGGTATGGAAAGCCCAGCATCGCTAATAAAGCTGCTGTTTGGCTGGACCTTGGTCTGGGTGGTTGCTTGTCCTGGGCGGCTGCTCTCCCCGGGGTGTTGGGGGCTGTAGGCTCCCACGGGTCCCCCCCTTCCTCAGGGCCACCCCCCCCAGTGCCTGTACCTGCACGTACCCCAGAACCTTGGGCACAGCGGCGCCCACTTGTGTTTGCCCGACAGCTTGCTGGACAGAGAGAGAGCACCCCTTCCTCCCTTCCCACCCTTCAACCCCCTCCTGGGCCCTGGTTCCGTGTCCTGGCTCTGAGGCCCCAACCAGTGTCCCACTGGCCTTCCTGTCCATGGGGGCTGGGGTGCTTTTGTGAGGACTCAGGCAAGGAGCTGGGCAGAAAGAGCCGGGCTCAGCCAGACCAGACCACAGCTCAGCATGCGGCAGGCCTGCCCTGGGCCTGGCCTCTGCTCCCTGGAGGCAGCTGAGACACCTCGGAGCAAGAGGCAGGGATCCTGCTGGAGGGAGCCTCCCCAGCTGGTGCCAGGGCCCCTGTGCCCGATGTGGGAACCCCCAGCCACTCGGGCAGGGGCATTACTGGGAAGGCTCGTGGGGTGGGGGTCCGAGGGGCAGTGTGTGTGTGTGTGTGTGTGTGTGTGTGTGTGCGCGTGCACACGTGTGCACGTGTGTCGGCATCCCTGTCTCTGCACACGTGTGTGCGCACATGTGAAGTGTGAGGCTGTGTGTGTGCACCTGGTCCAGCAGCCTCAGGGCAGATACGCGGCCAAGGCCACTCCAGCCCCCCCGCCCCCCCGCCCCAGCCCCCGCTGAGAAGGGCCCCTGCACCAAGCACTGGCAGTCACCATCGCCTAGGGGAACGCTCCTGACCCAGGCTGGTCCCCGAAGCCTAGGGATGAAACTGGCCACCAACAACTACGGCCTCACGCAGGGCTCCCTCGGGCCCCGACAGAGAGAACATGGCTCCAGATGTGCAGAAACGCCTGCCAGGACCTCCGGAATCCGTCTCGGGCCCCAGTCCTGGCTGACGGGGTTATTTCCTGCCTGGGAGCAGTGGGGGGGAACAGACCACAGGAGGCCACGGCAGCCCCACCCTGCCCCCCGGCCCCCTGGAGGCTGCCTCAGCCTCCCCAGCTCCACCCACACCCTGTGCCAACTTCCTGAAGGCTATAGGCGGTGCCCTGGGCAGGGAGTGGTGCGGAGGCGAGCCGGCCCCAAAGTGCCTGGGCCCTGGGGCTCCCCACGGTGGCCATCGGAAGCTAATCTCCCACCTGCCCCCAGAGCCAGCTAAGCCAGGGGCAGGGGCACTAGTACAGGCGGCCGTGGTGAGCTGGGCTCGCTCGTGGAGGTGCACTTGGGGCCACAGGCGTGGGGCAGGCTGCCTTCTGCCAGCTGGGCAGCGGCCTGGCCCATGCTCTGGATGGCTGGATTGCCTGTTTGCCTTAGAAATGCCACACTTGACTACCAGCTACCCTGTGTCAGCCTCCTACTGCTGATGCCCTATTTACAACCAGGGTCACATGGGCAGGGAGCTGGCCTGTCCACGGAGAGCTCATCAGGGGCCCTGACCACCCAGAAGCCACACACAGGGAGCGCATGGCCCAGGACTCGCCATTCTCCAGCTCTGCTTCATTGTGGAACCTTTGCTATACAAACACTTTGACTTTTGTCTGAGACTGATCCTGGGGACTTCCCTGGCAGTCTAGTGGTTAAGACTCCACGCTTCCAATGCAGTGGGTGCGGGTTTGATCCCTGGTCGGGGAACTAAGATCCCACGTGCCGTGCAGTGCGGTCAAAAAAAAAAAAAAAAAAAACACCTGATCCCAAGACTCACTCTGGGCCCCCTAAAAGCTGCTTCTAACTCCCCAGCTGTTTCGGGGGTGTGGAGGAGATGGTGTAGGTGGGCACAGAAGCCAGGCAGCACTGGCTGCATTTTGTTGAGTCCAGTCCCGAGCAGATGCCCGCCTTCCTCCAGACACAGGGCTGGGCACTCGTGGGTGCTCCCGGTTGTGGGGCAGGACAGTGCCCTGCGGGGCAGCCCAGAGTGACTCCAGAGGCCTTTCGTCCGGGGTGTGTGTGGTCCCTGGCTTTCTAGAAGAGGCAGGCAGGATCCTCTGACTGGATGGGATGCCAGAGGCCACGCTCTCTTGTGACTTGGGTCTCCAGAGAACCCCATCAAGGGGACTAATGGGTTTCCCCACCTAGCCTAGAGGTGACGACAGCCTGTGCCCTGCTAGGAGTGCTAAGTGGAGGGCAAGCTCCTGAGGGAGGGAAGAGAGAGGGCCAGGGGTGTCAGGTCGCAGGTCCTGGCCTCTCCCAGCTGCCTGGTCGTGGTCTCAGCTTCACAGAGAACACTTCGGAGCCCATGGGGGGAGGGACAACCACCCAGCAGGCAGCCCAGTGGTCCATTCACTTGGTTCCCGCGGTGGAACCCCCGCCCCCCCAAAGGCCCGAGGGTAAGTCTGAATCCTTAGCTGACCCAACCTCACCTCTTCCTGCCCTGGCTCCCCCCCATAAACGACTCCCCAATTTCTAGAGGCCACCAGTCCTCAGGGCCCCCAAGTCCTCCTTACGCCCCGCCCCTATAGTTCACCTTAGATGTGACTTCCTTCAGGAAGGCCTCACTGAGCCCCCCACCGCCGGCCCTAAGTCCCCACTGTCCATTCCTGCCCCAGGCCCCCCTGGCCTAGGTCTTCCCCAGGAGGCTCGCAGCCAGCGTCGGGAGTATGGACAGACCCGAGTCGGCAGCGAGAGGCCCAAGCTTGATCCAGGCGTCGCGAGAGGCGCCGCCCTCCCTAGGGGTCTTCGGCCGGGAGGCGCGGATGCGGAGGGCGCGCCCCCGCGGGTACGAGACAAACGCGCGGCAGACACACAGACACACGCGGCGGGCCGCGTCTCCGAGGGGAGGGGCTGGGCGGTCCGAGAGGCGGTGTGGAGACGCCCTCGGAGGCCGGCGCCCTGCTCCGCCCCCCGCCCCCGGCCGCCCGGGCGCAGCCAGCCGAGCGGCGGGATCGGAGCGCGGCGGCGGCGGCGGCGCGAAGGGAGGAGAGAGGGAGGGAGGGAGAGAGAGAGGGACGGAGGGAGGGAGGGGCGGAGGGGCCGAGCCGAGCCGAGCGGAACGCGCAGGCCACGGGCGGCCGCCGCCAGGATGCCCCGGCCCGCTGGCCGCTCCGCCGCCGGCCACCCACGCGGTCCCCGGCGGCCCGCGCTCGGCTCGGGGGCGCGGGAGCCGCAGCCGGAGCCGGAGGCGGGAGCAGCGAGCTGGAGCCCCGGGCGCCCGAATGCAGGGTGAGCGCCGCCGCCCTAGCCCGGGGGCGGCAGGGCAGGGGACCCCTGGCGGGAGGACTTTGGGCAGGGAGGGGCTGTCCGTGGTTGGTCGGTCACGGGGTCTGTCCGATGGCCGCGGGCTCCGCTTAAGGCTGCGCACCCCTCCCCCCAACTTGGGGACCTTCGGGGTAACTTCCCCGGGGTCCGCCCCTTCTTCTGAGCCTGGCAGCGCCGCCCCGGGGGGCTTGCTTTCAGGGGGCGGGGATGGCCGCTCTGGGGGTCCTGGGCCCACCCCTGCCCAGCGTAACTCGGGAGGCGTCCGGGACAGCAGTCCCGTCAGCGTTCGGCTCGCGGCCGACGCTCGGACGCGCCCTCGGGGCTGGGCAGAGCTGGGGGCCCCGCTGGGGCAGGACCGCGCGCCTGGCCGGGCGGGGGATCGGAGGACAGAGGAGCGGAGACCGCGAGGGTGCAGGGCGGGCGTGGCGGAGATGTGGAGGCTACTCGTCGAGAGCTCCGCCCTGGGCGGCGGCCGAGCGGGGCCCTGCGGGACTGATGGGTAGCAGCGCCGGCGGAGAGCAGCCTGGGGGCGGCAGCCTGAGCCCGGGAATCCTTTCAAGTTCTGGGTTCTCTTTGTTGCGCAATAGAGCCCGGGGGCCGTGGGGCCTCATTGGCCCGGGGCCGCGACGTCACGCCGGAGCCCCGCCCGCAGACCCTGCGGAGAGAGTCCGGTGGGTCCCAGGTCCGCCACACCTGCAGCCTGCACTGCGGTGTCCTGGGGGGGGCGCGGGGGGTGGCAGGGAGCGTCTCCGGGATCCAGGTGGAGCGGGAAGCCCAGTCCTGAAATGCTGCGGAGCCTGAGTGGGCTGCGGGAGAAACTTCCCAATAGGGGGCGGTAACACCCCTGGAGTGTTGGGGCCTGGACCCTAGTGTCCCCTGCTCCCTGTGATTGAGAATGAACAGAAGGTGTCACCAGCCTGGAAGAAGGGGGTCTCCTTGTTTCCGCAGAGCCAGCCCCCTCTCACTCTGCATTTGGAGACCTTGCTCTCCACCCCACCCCGGTGACACTCCTCCCCCATCGCAGGACCACCACGCTCAGGAGTCCATAAAGCCGCCTCCATACTTCCTCCCTGTGCTGCACTGGGCTCTGAGCCTCAGTGTTCCCATCTGCATTGTGGGGACAGTAGGACCCATCTTGCAGGGGCAGGAGGCCCAGAAAGACAACCTCAGCTCAAGGAACAAAAAAATGCCAAGTTTCTGAGCATTTTAATGTTTCAGACATCAGGATTTTGATGTCAGGCGAGTGGAGTTTGGATCCTGGCTCGGGAACCTAAGAGCTTGGTTACCTCCCCTTAACCATCTGTAAAATGGGAACGATGGCAGTCCTTCAGACAAGATCACTGGGGGTGCGAACTGAGGGGAGTGTGCCTGTTCGAAGGAGGATTGCCTCCTCCCTCTACTTGTAGGGCACATTCTCCTGCCCACACAGACCTAGGGCCTTTCCCTGCAGTGAGACACTGCTCGGCTAGACTCAGGGAAGAACCGGCACCAGGAAGGGTTGTACCAGTGGCAGCCTGTGGCACCTTCCCTACCACTCTGGACCAGCAATCAACAGGTGGGCAGTGTGGGCTGGGCCAGGCGCAGGGTCACAAGAGTCAGACAGCCTGCCTGCTTGGGCTTCTGAGGGAAGGCCTCCCAATCTGACGGCCAAGGCGGCGCGATGCAAGTAGAAATAGATGGCAGCCCACCACGTGCATGCCAAATCCGGTTTTCTATTTGATAATGTAAGCCTCTGCCCGCTCTGGACCCCTGGTGGGCTGCCAGACACCCCACCTGGCTGTGTGTAGCCTCATTACCCTCCAAGCTGGGCTGTCCCAGGTTCTGGCTGGGGTGACTGTGCGTCTGCCTGCAGGTCTAAGGCTCGTGCACACCTCTGAGCTCAGTGTCTTGAAGAGACAGCGTAGCTCAGTGAGCAGGGAGGTCTTTGGTACAGACATCTACGTGGCAAGCACTTATTGAGCACTTACTGTGTGCCTGGCTCCATTCTAAGCGCGTTCCCTGGCATAGCTTACCGGCTACCCACACACTTCTCGAGGCAGATAGGGACTATCATGTCTACGTACAGATGAGAAAACTGAGGCCCAGCTGAGTCACGTGACTGGCTGGGGAGCTAAAGCTGGAGTCTAACAGCTCTTCACCCCACACCGAGTGGCCTCTGTATGCTGAAGTCAAGGAGGCTTGCTGGACAGCAGAACGGCTGGTGGAGGGTTCAGCAGGGCCACCTCACCCCCCACGCTGGGTCTGGGGTGGGGAAGGGGCGGCAGCTTTGCGAGCAGAAGCCTAACGTTTGGGAAGGAAGTTCCCTGGCCCCAGAAGTCCCCCAGCCCCCGCTAAAAGGCCCTTAGTGGGCACTGGTGTGGTCCAGATTAGACTCCTCCTGTGGGTCAGGGGCCTGGACAGGCCCACTGCAGGGGCACAGAGATGAATGACACCCATCAGGACTCAAGAGATCCTTCGGTGTCCGTGGGGCTCAGGCCACACCCTGCACGAGACAAGCAGGGGAGCCTGGCAGCAGGCTGGGAGGTGTCACTTCCCCTGTCCTGAGCGCCAGGGGCCTGCAATGGCCTGTCCACCCCAAGCTGGAGACAGTCCCTGAAGGATCACGTGGCTGTGTCTGGTTCAGTGGTGCCCATAAGTGTTGGGGGCAACAAATTTGCAGCCAATGAGATTACACAGGCTAGAGGGTGAGAAGGCCCAAGTGTAGGCAGCGTACATAGTAGACCTGCACTGAGCACTGCACTTGTCCCCCACGCCACCTGCTCCAGGCTGTGGCCAGAGGGGCCTGCTGTGGGGTGCCTCACGTCAGAGGGACCGGCCAGTGCTCTGCGCAGGGACGCACCGAGCTGGGAAGCTGGGGGACTCACCGCCAGGCCCACTGGCAGGATGGGGCGGCTCCCCAACACGTGCCTCCTGCCCCGCGTCCTAGGTCCCTGGTTCCTACCTATCCACAGGCTGTCCTCGGGGGCAGGTTCTGGTCCCTGGACCAGCTACTGTCCCATGCTGCCTGCGGCATCCCAAGCAGCCGGGCCCGCCCCAGGCACTAGAGATGCGGCGTCTGTCCACCCCAGCCTCCCCCTGGAGGAAGCCTCATCGTCCCCGTTTCAGAGTAGGACGTGGGTGCAGGGACTTTGCTGGGGCCACATGGCTAGTACACTAGAGCTTAGTGTACCCCCCAGCCCGGGGTAGTGCCAGGGCCTGCCAGGCGTGCACGGCCACGGAAGGCCTGCTGGGGGCTGACCTGGGTAAAGCAGGCCGCCCTTTCCCAAGGTGGGCACGAGAGTGGCCCCCAGAGCATCCCTTCCTTACAGGGGAGGTTCAGGGCACTCATCCTCCAGGCATGTCCTCATTGGCCAAAGGAAGTGGGACCAATGAAAGTGAGGGCCCCCAGCATGCACTGGGGGTGCCTCGCGTGGGCTGCGTGAGGATTTGGGGAGTTTGATGGTGAGAGGGCTGGTTCTGGGACAGGACCAGGTACACACGCAGCACAGCGCCCACCTGGGCCCGGCCTGGCGGCTTCCCTGAGGATGCAGGCAGCCTGGAAGGAAGCCTAGGTGCCGCACCTTGACCAGGAGTAGGTGGAGGTGAGGGGATGTGCACTTATTGAGCACCCCTGTATACACCCCCTGGGAGCCAGGAGGTTCCATAGAGGGCAGAGGAGGGCGAAGCGGCCCAGCCCAAGCCAGGACCAGACAGGCAATGGAGCATGAGGGGACCCCCTCTATCTCGCACTCCCAAGAGCCCCAGGAGCTTCACTGCCAGAGCCCAAGGGAGAGTCCCTGAGAGCTCTTTGGCTCCCCCCAAACCCACTGCAGATGCTCACGGTCCCTGGTGTCCCCAGGCCGCCACGTGTGAGGGCTGCTGCTCGGAGCTGAGGCCTGGCTTGAGGAGGATGTCCCAGCCGCCGGCCAGCTCCCATCTGCACCATGAGTGATGAGCGGCGGCTGCCTGGCAGCGCGGTGGGCTGGCTGGCCTGCGGAGGCCTCTCCCTGCTGGCCAACGCGTGGGGCATCCTCAGCGTGGGGGCCAAGCAGAAGAAGTGGAAGCCCCTGGAGTTCCTGCTGTGCATGCTCGCGGCCACCCACATGCTCAACGTGGCCGTGCCCATCGCCACCTACGCTGTGGTGCAGCTGCGGCGCCAGCGCCCCGACTACGAATGGAACGAGGGCCTCTGCAAGGTCTTCGTCTCCACCTTCTACACCCTCACCCTGGCCACCTGCTTCTCCGTCACCTCCCTCTCCTACCACCGCATGTGGATGGTCCGCTGGCCCGTCAACTACCGGTGAGTTCCTGGGCGTGTGCGCCTGAACATCTGGTGTCCTTGGAGAGGGGGACGTGGGTGCCTGAGCGCGCAGGTACCCTCGGTGTGGGGACAGGGTCCCTGTGCGGTGTGCCGCACCCATGCTGTGCTGGGGTTGCAGGGACGAGCGCGTGTAGGTGTACGTGGGTGCGTACAGTGTCCAGTGCAGAAGGGGTCGGTGAGAAGGACACGTGACGATGTGCTGACTGCGGGGCTGGGGCAGTTGAGGACCCTCTGCCGGTCCCCAGGGGCCTCTGGAGAGACCCTTTGAGTGACGCCAGGTCCCTCTGTCCTGCCCCCGCCCCATGCCAGGCTAAGCAACGCCAAGAAGCAGGCGGTGCACACGGTCATGGGCATCTGGATGGTGTCCTTCATCCTGTCGGCACTGCCTGCCGTCGGCTGGCACGACACGAGCGAGCGCTTCTACACCCACGGCTGCCACTTCATCGTGGCTGAGATTGGCCTGGGCTTCGGCGTCTGCTTCCTGCTGCTGGTGGGCGGCAGCGTGGCCATGGGCGTGGTCTGCACGGCCATCGCCCTCTTCCAGACGCTGGCGGTGCAGGTGGGGCGCCGGGCCGACCGCCACGCCTTCACCGTGCCCACCATCGTGGTGGAGGACGCACAGGGCAAGCGCCGCTCCTCCATCGACGGCTCCGAGCCCGCCAGGACCTCGCTGCAGATCACCGGCCTGGTGGCCACCATCGTCGTCATATACGACTGCCTCATGGGCTTCCCTGTGCTGGTGGGTGAGCCTGGCGGGGGGACGTGGGCTCTGGGACAGCCCTGGGGCTGGGCGTGCTCCAGGCGTTAGGTGGTTGAATCCTCACACCCGATCTTTTCAGGAGGCATCATCATCATCCCCATTTTACAGAGGTGGAAACTGAACTTCAGAGAGGTCAAATGACCGCCTAAAGTCAGGGCGTCCATGGTGGGATCTGAACCCACGTCAGGTGGCTGCAGAGACCAGGGTCTTTTGTCGCACGGCAGGGGACTTTCCTGACCTGAGTGAGACCCATTTGATGCAGAGGGTATGGAAGGTGGGGTGACATGCCACAGGCTTTCTGGTGGGTCCAGGTCCCAGGCTGGACAGAGGAGGGATTTAGTGTGGCAGAACTGGCTTTGATCCTGAATCGGGAGGCAGGGAAGGCCTTGAATATGTGCTGGGGAGTTGGACTTGATCCCAGGAGCTGAGGAAGGTCAAGGTGAGGGCTGGTCTGAAGACCCTGCCAGCAAGGGTCCAAGGTCCCCCGAGGCTGCCTGGGGTCCTGTCTGTGAGGCTATGCCCCAGGCCTAGCCCAAGAATGACGTCTGGACTCAAAGACAAGCCCTCCCACTGATAGGGCTCCAGCCCTGCCCCTGAAGGCTATGGAGCTGGACAGGGAAGGGTCTAGGGGCAAGGACCAGATAGAGGCTTCATCCTAGCAGCTGGGCAGGGAGTCATCGCAGGACCCAAGCTCCAGAAGGTGACAGGTGGTGTGGCAGCCTCATAGTCAGGGGTGACCTTCTGCCCCACCCTCAGTGGGCCAGGTACCCCCCAGGTAGAGTCCTGCTGTGTGCATTGGGGCCTGGTGTCCCCAGTCCTTTGATGATAGAGGGAAGATGTGTGTGTGAAATTGCAGAGCCAGACGGGAACAGCAGTGGGGGAAGGGCCCCCCAGCTTCTCTTCAGGGCCGTTTGTGGAACCCACTCCATGCTGCCGGCCTGGTACGGTGTCTGGAATCTTTACCTCACCCTGTGGGGTGTTCTTGGCCCATTTCACAGATGAGGAAACTGAGCCCCAGAGAGGTTTAGCATCTTTCTGAGGGTCACACAGCTCGCATGGAAGAACCAACATGATGTCTGCATCATGCCCACTTCTGCTCTGAAAGAGGAATAGTTATGTCACTCAGTGGGGGAATGAACTCTCCTGGGAGCAGAGGAATGAGGCGTCCCTAGGCGGTGACCCAAAGGCCACCTGGTTGGATCCTCTGACCCCCAGAAACTACTTTGATTCTAGACCTCTGGGGTCTGAGGTCTAGACCCTCAGAGTAGGGGCAGGGCCAAGGAGGCCACTAGCCATGGAGCAGCGGGGATGGTAGAAAGGTCCCTGAACTGGGAGACTCGAGACCTGGCTCTCAAAAAGGGGCTGGTAATCCACGCCTTCTCCTCCTTGGGCGGTCACGGGTGAAATGAGGGAGGCCGTGCCCAGTGCTACCTGCTGCACTGTGAAGGGCTCTGCACACATGGGGCTGTGACTGTTCATCTTGACACCAGCGGCTGTCGGTGGGCAGGGACTTCTCCCCTCACACTCTGTCTCTTTCCTGCCCAAAACCCCAGGGCTTTGTCCGTCTCCCCCTCCCCCTCTGTCTCCCCCTCCCCCGCCTCCGGCAGGTGGGCAGTCAGACCTGCCCCACAGGTGGGAGAACTGAGGCCGGGAAGGGAAGCTGGGTGATGGGGGTCCTGCCGGGTGCCAGGCCCAGCCCTGTGCCCACAGGTGGTGAGCTTCAGCAGCCTGTGGGCTGACGCCTCGGCGCCCTGGATGGCACTGTGTGTGCTCTGGTGCTCAGTGACCCAGGCCCTGCTGCTGCCCGTATTCCTCTGGGCCTGCGACCGCTACCGCGCTGACCTCAAGGCTGTCTGGGAGAAGTGCATGGCCCTCATGGCCAACGACGAGGACTCGGGTGACGGTGAGGACGGTCTGAGCATGCCCCCCAGGGAGAGTGGCGCCTGGGTGAGGTCACTGGGGGTCCGCGGGATAACAGCTGTCAGAGCCCCCTTGTTCTACCCCAAAGGTTCTTAAACCCCGCAAGGACTCAAGCCTGGTGTCACACGGGGCCTTCCCCTGTATGGCTTGGCCGCCCCAGGGTTCCAGTTGATCAGACGTTCTGTTAACAGAGTGGCTGTGGACTGCATGCAGCCTGATTGTGTTTCTTGGAGCTTCCAACCTTAGGGGTCCTGGCGAACTGCCCCGGGGCTCCTGTAGACCGGTCCTGTCTCCCTGCCAGCAGCAATAATGTGACCCTGGGCTGAGCCCTTGCCACCTGGCAGGCAGTGTCCGCTCCTTGTGTCTGTTTAGTTCTCACCCCCATAGAGGAGGAAACTGGCTCAGGGTCTGTGACTTCCCCAGGCCCTCAACTAAAAGGTGGCAGAGTCAGGATCTGAATAGAGGACCCCGCCCTTCTCCTTTTCTGTTAACCAGCCCACCAGCACTGCGTGTCTCTGGGGGTCCCTGGGACCCATTCCTGGATGCCCCCAAGTTTCCACGGCCCTAAGCTTCTGCCCCGCCCTGCAGAAACCAGCCTGGAAGGTGGCATCCCCCCAGACCTAGTGTTGGACCGCTCCCTGGACTACAGCTATGGGGGTGACTTTGTGGCCCTGGACAGGACGGCCAAGTATGAGCTCTCTGCCCTGGAGGGGGACCTGCCCCAGTTCTACCCTCTGCGGCCCTTGCAGGAGGACAAGATGCAGTACCTGCAGGTAGGGACAGCCAGGGCTGGAGATGCAAATATGCCTCTCCAAGGCCTTTCCTCTCTGAGCTCATCTCACGCCTGCCACAGCTCCTGGGGCTGGCTTTCATCCTCCCAAGACGGGCTGGCCCCAGGTCACAGAGCCTGTGCAGGTGGACCCATGGGCGGCACCCCAGCCCCTGTGGCCAAGTTCGCTGGTGCTCTAGGAGGATGGTCCATTTGGTGCCTGTGTTGTTTCCTTGGGGCTCAGCACCCTACTCAAAGGGACTTCTCCCCAGCTGACCCAAGCTACAGATGACAACACTGAGGTTTGAAGAGATTGTCACTTGCCCCAAATCTCACAGCTCTAAACCAGGGTGCCCTGGACCAGGCCTGGTCCCTGACCTCAGGCGGCCCTGCCCGGTGAGGGGAGGCTAGGCCCCCCTTTTCCAGGAGGGCAGCCCGGGTTAACCCCTTGGTCCTGACAGGTCCCGCCCACGCGACGCTTCTCCCACGATGACGCGGACGTGTGGGCCGCCGTTCCGCTGCCCACGTTCCTACCGCGCTGGGGCTCTGGCGAGGACCTGGCCGCCCTGGTGCTGCCTGGCGGGCCCGACCGGCGCCGCGGCGGCCTGCTGGCGGAGGACGCGCCCCCCTTCCGCCCGCGCCGTCGCTCGGCCGAGAGCCTGCTGTCGCTGCGTCCCCCGGCCCTGGACGACGGCCCGCGCCTCGCCCCCGGCTCGCCCCCCGGCAGCCCGCGCCGCCGCGCCGGGCCCGGCGCCCGCTGCGCCTCGGCCTCGCTGCTGCCCGACGCCTTCGCGCTGACCGCCTTCGAGCGGGAGCCACAGGCCCTGCGCCGCCAGCCCTCCTCGCCGGGGCCCTTCGCCGTCCGCGCCCTGCCCCGCGACGGCGCCCAGCCCGGCGGGGACGCGGCGCCCCCTGGGGGCGGCGGCGGCGCGCAACGGAGCCCGGGGCCGCGCCCGGCCGCACACGCGCATTCCAGGACCCTGCGGACCGGCCTGAGCGCGTCGTGGGGCGAACCCGGGGGCCTGCGCGCGGCGGGCGGCGGCGGCGGCAGCATCAGCAGCTTCTTGAGCTCGCCCTCGGAGTCGTCGGGCTACGTCACGCTGCACTCGGACTCGATGGGTTCGGCGTCTTAGGGCCCGCCGGCGCCTCCCCAAGTCTCCAGGCGGGCCGGGCCACCCACGGGGCCAAAGCACCAAAGATGCTATCCTAACCCGGCCCAGGCTCGGGGCAGGCTACGCTGAGGCCGCCGGCGGCGCCTGGACTTGCGCTAGCCCTGACGGGGCGGCGGCTGTGTGCCGCCCGGGAAGCGGCCATTGCCTGGAGGGGCAACGCCCGCCCCGGACGACCACACTGGGCACGGACCAGCCTCTGGGCAGAGTGAGGCTGGGGCTTGGGAAAAGGCAGGCTCCGGACGGGGCAGCTGGCTACCGCCGGACGGAACAAAGCCCAGCCCTGCAGGAGCCAGCAGACTGCAGCCACTTCCCACTCTGCACTGCAACTGTCACACCTCAGGGGGTGGGGTACAGAGGGTCTGCAAGCACAGGGGTCTTCAGAGCCCAAACCAAGTTCTCTGAGCAGGTCCCCCTGCTGACTTGTTCTGCCTTGGTTTCCGCATCTGTGAGGAGCAGGTGACCATGTTAGCTCTCAGGACTGTCTGGTCAAGTCTCCTGGTCTGTGTGCCCCGGCCGCCACCGAGGGGACAGGGAGTGAGTAGTGGAGGACCCTCCATGGGTCCCTTGTGGGGCTCAGTTTTCAGGGGCCTGGCGTGGCCCCCAAGCCTGAGGCCTCCCACACTTAGTGCCCCTGGCCCCCTTGAGAACTCTCCCCAGCCAAGCTAAAGCACAACACTCTCGCACCATCACCATTGGCACACACCCGCCTTGGCCGCTGTTAGCATCCCACCCTCATCACTGTGCCTCCATTGCCTATGCACAACACGTCAGCCACCTCTGTGACTCCCACCACGAAGGTCGTGGGTACGTGGTGGAGAAAACTGAAGCAAAGGGGGAGCGGGCTTCCTTCTCCTGGTGCCAACCCCCAACCTGTGCTGGTCTGGCCAGGAAGGGATCTTGCCTCAGAGGCCTCGCAGCTTCTGGGTTCAAGGCCTGGTCCCTGGTAAGAGTCTTCCTCCACCCTGGGGCAGGGGTCTTCTTTTGCTCTCCATGCTGGGCAGACCTCTTGCGGGCCTGGGCTTGGCCATGGGCCCTTGGGAGGGCCTGCTGGGTCTTGCGTGGAGGAAGACCCTTGACTCAGGCTAAGGAGAAGCCCAGGAATAGCTGTGGACTTTGAGCTGGAGGGGCCGGGGTGAATGCAAAGACTGTCTCATTCCACCCCCTGCCTCCCTGCAGTGGCCCCTCCATGTGAAGATCTGGAGGGGGTTCCAGGGCCCGCAAGGAGCTGGTCTACCCCCTCTCCCCTCCTACTCTGCACCCTGGAATTGCAGCACTGCCTCTGCCCCTCAGGTGGCCAAGCCTGTCTCCTCACCCTCCAGACAGGGTCTCAGCTCCAGAGAGGCCTCTGGGAGCCGGGAGAACAGGGGGGACTACGCAGCTCTGTCTCACCCTCAGAGGCCCCTTCGGTCTCTGGCTGTGGGGTAACTTGGCGGGAGGAGCTGGCCACAGGTGAGTAAGGCAGGGGCCTCCGGTCCAGCCTCAGCCATGGGAGGCCTGCCTCGCCAATGCTGCTGTGCCTTCAAGGACCAACATGATGTGGGGGCAGAGGCAGCCAGTTAGCCACCGTTCCCCACCCCCGCCGGCCGATTGGTCACCTTGGGTTTTCATATCCAATCTGTGTACTTCATATCCAACGGCAATACTTGCAGGGAGGCGTGGTCCCCTGAAGTCCCTCCAGTCCTGGTTTTTACAAAATTATTAAAGAGGAGGGAGGACCCCAAGCAGAGGCCCCCGGAGCGTGGGGCTCCCTCTCTCACTTTGTCTTGCCTCCAGGCCTGTTTGCTGCCCTGAAGAGCAGCTTGGCCCTGGGTTCACTGTGGAGGGAGCTCTGTCTTCATACCACCACCCAGCCCAGAGCCAGGGATCCGTTTGTAGTTTTTTTGGACAACTGAGCATTTATCTTCTGTACAGAATCGAATAAAAACTTCCTATGATTTGCACCAGGCAATCCAAGGCCGATTTCATGGAAACACTTAGAACCTAACAGCACCGCTGGCCAGCTGCCCCTAAACGTCTCTCCCTCTGGGTCCTGAATTCCTCCGCTAGTGCACCCTTCCTTTGGGTTGGACTTGCCCCTTTCTCTAGGCAAATCCAGCGGCCCCACCCAGCGAGTGAGTCAGACCTGGGGCAGCAGCAGGATGGAGCGGCCTGGTGGGTTCCAAAGCCCTAATAAAGGGCGGAGATGACCTATGAGTGCAGATGGCAGCCCCTGCCCAGGTTTGGCTTCAGGGACCACTAATTCCAGTGAGGCTGATTCTGGAGGGCGAGAAAGGCAGAGCAGTTGGAGCCGTGCCTAGGGGAGGAGGACCCATTGTGCCGGTTGACCCGCCCACCAGCCTGGGTTGGAATTCGGAGGACGTGCCCTGGGTCCGCGATGTAAGATCGCCACCTGGTGGCCGGCAGGAGCCTGGTGGCCTGCAGAAGGATTAGTGTCGGGAAGTTGAGACCCGAGAGGCCGCCCCGGGACCACCACTGCAGGAGCCCCACCCCAGCACCGGAGAGCCCGCTGGGTGGTGCGGTAGGGGAGCTAGGTCGCCCTCTCCCCGCGGTCTGACCAGGACGGGTTTAGCACACGGCAAGGCAGGGGCAGCCCAAAATGAGAAACGTTTTATACAAAGTTGATGTTGGTAGTTCAAAAAGATTCACCTAAGTAGGCATCACGGGAGAAATTAGAACCTTCATGGCCTCTTTATACCCATTTCAGAAGTTCGCACTGTTCTTATTTTGAATTTCAAGCTGGTGGGAGGAGGTGCTAGGATCTCTTCCTGGGCTCAGGGCAGGGTCCCTGTCCTCCACCCCCAGGCTTCCCCGCCGGGAGCCCCGGGTTCGAGTCCGGGCACAGCAATGACCTCATTTTCAGACGAGTAAACTGTCGCACAGCACTCCCAGGGTTGTCAAGGGTGGTGGGCTCCCTGGAAGCCCCAGAGGTCCGGAGTCGGGGGCTCTGCGGGGCCGGGGTCTTTTCCAACTGGGGAGAAGTGAACTCTCCCTTGAGAGGAGCCGGGGTGTGCCCTAGCAGCCTCCAAGTTGGTGCGACAGTGCGCGGGGTCCCTACCAGAAGCCGCGCGGAGCCAAGCATCGGGTGGCCGGGGCGGTAGGTGGAGCATCTTACCGGGCGGGGCCACAGCGCTGAGCGGGCGCTGGGCAGGGTCGCTAAGGAGGGGGCTACCGAGAGGGCAGACTTAGGAGCGTGCGCCAGCGGGTGGGCCGCGCCGCGTGCGGAGGGGGTGGGGATCCCTGGAAGCCGAGTGGGTCCAGGATGGGGATGGGATGGGGGCCCCTTGCTGGGGGGGCGGGGCCTGGCGCGCTTTGTGCCGGTGGGAACCGGGCGTCCCTGGCCGGCTGAATGGGCAGGGGCGGGGCAGCGATTCTCCTCGCTGCGAGGGGTCCGCTCTGTGCTGCTGCGGCCGGCGACCTTCCCACCGCGGCGCGGCCACGGGGCGGGAACGAGCTGCCCGCCAGGGGCCCTGGGAAAGGGGCGCAGCCCGGGACACCCACTCCCAGCCCCACTGGAAGGTGGGAGGAGGAGAAAGCGGGTCCGGCCTAAGTGGGTAGGGCTGGGGTGGGGGGTGAGTTATGCCTAGACGCGCAGAACCCGGTCCAATCGTAGCTTCGTGTATTTCCCCGAGTTCGAAGAGACGCGGCACCCTCCCGGCCACCCCGTCCCGGGACCAGAACCGATGACCGGAGTTCCGGCCGTCCAAAACAGTCTCTGCGTCCCCAGGCCAGACGAGGGCCTCTGTGAGTCCGAGGCCGTACCTGATCCTCACCAGGGCCGCCACAAGCGCAGCCCCGGCCCCGGGCTCTCGGCGAAGCGGCGAGACGCCGACTGCGGCGCGGGGATGCCGGTGGACTGACCGGGGAGACCTCCAGAGAAGAGGAGCCGGGGTGGCGGGGACCGCGAGCCGGCGGCGGCCGGAGCAGGGACCCAAACTGGGGGGGCGCCGGGGCCGCGCCGCGCGGGCGCCTCGGGGCCGGAACTGGCGCTGTCCATGGTGCTGCCACCCGCGCGCTCGTGCGCCAGGGGGCAGCGCAGACCGTCGCCGCCCTCCTCTTCGCGCCGCAGAAGTTGGCTAACGCCCGGTAGACAGCCGCGGAAGCCCGACGGGTACTCGGCTCCGCTGGGGACCGGCCAGAGCCCTGGGGGGAGGGGAGCGGATGAGAGAAATGCGGAAAGGAGGGGAGAGGAGGAGGAAAGGAAAGAGAGAGAGAGGAGAGAGCAAGGGAGGGGAGAAGTGTGGAGGGAGGGAAGAGAAGGGAGGGGAGTCAGCCCGAACCCGCTCCCCCCTTCCCGGGTCCAGACCTTCGCCCACCCGGATTACAACTCCACAGCCAGCCGGGCTTTTGCCTCCTGCCCACTCACAGCAATATGGGGCCCCCTTGTCACTCAGCTGCCCACTGCCCTGAGCAGTTCTTCTCCGTCCATCCCTCCTTTATCTGGCCTTGTAGACTCCGTGGCTCTGACCCCACAAGTTCCCCCGCCTCTTCGCCCGACTCCCCAAGCCATCCCGCTACCTTGCACCGAGTTCTGAAGGCTTTTCATGTACTTGACGCTCAGCTCCAGTATGTCTGCCTTCTCCAACTTGCGTTTCCGGATCTGGGGATCCGTGGAAAGGGCTCTTAGCACCGCAGCCTGGGCTGGAGCGGATGAGGCTGGGGACCGTATCATCCCTTACCTCCAACGAGTCCCCTTTCTCACCTGGTGCGAGTAGTGTTTCTCTAGCAACGATCTGAGCTGCTCCAGCGACACATTAATGCGCGCCCGTCGCTTCTTCTCCATCAGCGGCTTGGAGATCTGTGGGTGAGCAGCAGTTAGAGGGCAGGGCCTTGGCCCTCTCGCGCTCTGCCTCACCCCTCACCCCCGCAGCCCTCAGGACTCCAGACCTTGCGGAAGTTGCCGGCGGGGCCGCCAGAGCTGCCCTGGGTCTCGGACTCAGTGCCCATGTTGTCGTAGTGGAGACCACTGGAGGCGGCACCACCTTTATAGGGGCACCTCGTTTACATGTCAATGAGGCGCTCCTGGACTTGTGGAACCCCCAGGGGGAGGGGATGAGAGAGGGACAAACTGGGAAGTTCGCCGCCTCCCTCTGCCTCTTCTCTTCCCTTAGTCCAGGCCTCATCTCCAGGACCCCTCCTCCCTCCTGAGGGACCACCTTTACCCTTTCTCTGTCTTTCCTTTTTTTTTTTTTTTTTTTGTCTGCGTTGGGTCTTCGTTGCTGCGCACGGGCTCTCTCTAGTTGCGGTGAGCGGGGGCTACTCTTTGTTGCGGTGCGCGGGCTTCTCATTGCGGTGGCTTCTCTTGTTGGGGAGCACGGGCTCTAGGCGCGCGGGCTTCAGTAGTTGCGGCACACAGGCTCAGTAGTTGTGGCTCACGGGCCTAGTTGCTCCACGGCATGTGGGATCTTCCCGGACCAGGGACCAAACCCGTATCCCCTGCACTGGCAGGCGGATTCTTAACCACTGCGCCACCAGGGAGGTTCTCTCAGTCTTTCCTTTCTCCCTCTCACCCTCACCACTGCCTGAGTCTGGAATTCCTTCCCATGCCCATCCCCTCCCGTCCCAGTCTCCCTAAGTTCTGGGCCTCACCACCAAGCCCCCTGGGGGAGGTCCATGGGCCCAGATGGCTTCAAGACCCACTAATGACTATGACTGAGCACCGGGCCTCCTCGGGCCTGATGAAGACGCGGAGGCAGGGAGCAGCCGCCAGCGAGGCCTTTCTGCCGGCTTCACGCTCGGGCCGCGCCGGCGATGCCACATTACTCGCCCTAATGTCGGGACAATGCAGCAATTTTCTGCCTGTGGCCACTCAAAGCCAGGTGCAGAGCAGGCCCGCGGGGGCCAAGCAGCAACATGTGTCCCATTAAAGCATGCAACCCGCCCGCGGGGCCACAGCCAGCCTCCTCCTTGGGGCCTCGGAACTGGGAGCCGTCCTGCGTCGGGGTTCAGTCTGGGCTCAGGGGCCCTCCGGCCCTGTTAGGACCCAACCCACACTCTTCAAACTGGGGGGCAAGCTGCAGGCAGCCTCAGGCCAGGGCAGTCAGAAAGGCCTCCCCCACCCCCAGTCCTGAGTTTGCAGACTGGAAAACTCAGGCTCTGAGGACCTTTCCCTCACAGGGAAGGCCTAGGAGTTTATTCCCCCCACCCCTGCCCGTTGGCCTTCTCTGGGTCCCAACAAATGGGAGGTGGTGGTGAAGACCACTGAGCATCTGCGGAGAGCACCGTTCTGCACGTTTGGAGGTCCGGGATGTCAACCCCTGTTCATTATTCAGGCTGTGGCTGAAGACCCAAGGAGCTCAGAGGAGGAGACACCTGCCCCCCGACCCGCTAGGCCCTATAACAGGACTCCGGTGCAGTCCCTGCTTGGGCTTCAGGAGGCTGGGCTCCAGGAGCTGGGAGGGACGGGAAAACTGACGTCTGCGGGAGTTCCTGGGTTCAAACCTACACAGCTCCCTTTACTGAGTTCCCTTGGCCTCAGTGAACATGCGGCCCCTAGCGCCGCTTGTGAGAGCGCTGTGGAAGTCGCAAGGACCCAAAAGTTCGGCAGTGGAGCCCTGCTGCCGAAGACTGAACGAACTGGCCCTTGCGGGGTCCCAGTGGGGGGGGGAGGGGAAGTTGCTGGGTCCTTGGTGGGCCCCAGCTCCATCCTCTTACCCATCCACCCCCGCTCGGGGCATTGATGGGCCCCCTGCCCGGCAGTGGCGTTCCCAGGCGCCAAGCAGCGTGGAGAATCGCTCCCCGCCCTCCTTTCAGGCGGAAGCGTCGGAGACAGCGGCTCCAAAGTGTTTTCGCCCCGGCCGCAGGGCCCGCTGGTCAGATCCGGGCCGGGCCCGGCCCAGGGCGGGTGGCGGGGCCGCGGCGGGACTGCGGGCGCTGGCACGCGCCGGGCGGCTTTGAAGCGCCGGGGCCGGCCAGCCCCGAGGGGCTTCCGCGGGTTCGCTCCGGCTTGGGGCGGTGGCGGCGCGGTACAAAGGCGCCGCGGGGCGGGCGGGCGGCGAGGCCGGGCACAAAGGGGGCAGCCGAGTGTTAAGGGCATTGTGCCGGCCCCACAAAGCCGCGCCCCCGCCCGACCCCTCGGGACCAAACTCCGGGCGCCCTGCCGCGCGCGGGCTTCCAGCTGCTGCACATCTGCAGGGAGGCTGGGCGCGCGCCTCGCTCGGGCGGTCCCCCTCATCCCCGCCCAGCTCTCGAGCCGCGCGGGCAGCCGGGCAATTTGTCCTCTAATTATGATCCCTCCCCATAAACCGCCGCCCGCGCCTTTCAACTCCGGCGTTATTAGCAAACCAATGGCCCTCGGCGCAGCTCTCGCGGCCCACAGCGGGGGCGCCGGGCCCGCCCCCTCTCCAGAGTTCGGGCCGCAATAAAGGGGCCCGCGAGACGCCCCCGCCTGCACCCTGGCCCCCGCAGCTCCTAGGGCCACCACCCCTCTCGAGCCCGTGCCCCGAGATCCCGGCCGCTCTGGGTGGGGCCGCTCACGTGGGTGGCTTAGTGTTTCTTAAGCAGTGGAAAATTGACCGCAAAATGCGCTAATTCGCAATGTTCTGCTTTGGCTGCGGCAGGCGAGGCCGGCCCGGGCGGCCCGGGAGGAATTCGGGCTGTCAAGCTCCGCCCCTGCCGGCTTAATGGGCCTCCGCCTCCGCTGCCCCCGACCCCCACCCCGGGACTGCCCGCTGCGCCCCTCCCCCTCTGGCAGGTCCTCAGCTGGCGTCTCCCCACCTAGGCCGATCCCCTCCCCCACCTTCCGGGCTTGCCCGGGTGTTCGCTCGGCTCCCTCACCACAAACAGCCACCTTGGCGCGTTCGTCGCCTCCAGCTGGCCGAGGGTCGCGCGGGACTCAAGGCTGAAAGGGATCTCTGTGCAAATTCCATCTTACCTTTTACCCACCTTCAGAGACAGTTTCCTCGCCACCCTCGCCACCCTTTACCCCCAATTCGGGTTAGTCTTCTGGGCAGCCGATACCCCCAGTAAGTTAAAGGCAGATTTTTGCATTTGGCAAGGTCATTGGAAAAGACCGGAGTCTCCACCGAGATCCTGCTCGGAGACCTAGGCTAGGGACCCCCAGGTCTGTTTGCAAGTTTTGCGTCTGGGCATCCTACACACCCTAGGCAGGCTGGGCTCCGAGGGCGCGTGCAGAGGCTGGGGAGGCGTTTTCCGACGTAGGGGGAGCGGCTGCGGGTTCACCTCGTCCTCTCTGAGAGCAACCAGGACCAAGCGCTCTCGGGCAGCCGGCAAGGGCATGGACCAACTTAGAAACCCGGCTTACGCAAGCCGGGATGTAGGCCACCGACTCCCTTTCCATCTTTAGCCTCTGGGGTTCCCAGGGGGCTTGGAAAGGAGCACAGGTCCAGGCAGAGCGCTGGGGGGACACAGGCTGCCCTCTGCTCATTCAGGAAAAATTCTTTCTATAACTCAGGAGAGCTCTGGGGGCTTCCAGGGCTACTCAAAGCCCGTGGCTTCCTCAGGCTGGGGAATTTAAGGCCCAAAGTGACCTGTGCCTTTTGTCCTCTGTTCCTCCATTTGGTTTTCTTGACTTTGGTAAAAGAAAGAACATTACAGAACGATGCAGGCCCTGGATGGGAACCCCTGCCTTCCTGCAGCCCCCAGGTATTTAAAGCTACCCGAGCTGTTAGGTGCTGCGGAGGCCACTGCCTGTGCAGTGACTGGAGGGAGAAATGTGCCTCCGCCTCCAGGATGCACTTCTAAATGGAATGAAGCGATTGCTCCATGTAATTAACTATTGGGACACAGCAAAAGCTCAGAAATGACTCAGCCGATTGTCTCCAGATGGGGTTGGAGAGGCTGCGATTGTTTAACTCTCTTTGGCTGGGTTAGGACTCCGAATAGCCCGGCAGCCAAGGGCCCTCCAGGGGACAAAGGCTGGGACTCCGGTGAGGGCATCAACACTGAACCGGGCTGGCCCAGCTCAGAGAGAGTGAATTCTGGGAGACCCTCACTGTCCCAGCCTTTTGTGCTTCTCCCCAGCTGGCTCTAATCTGTAAATATTTACCCGGCCCCTTTGTGCACATATGACTTATGCACGTTGGGCTGATCTGCTCATAAATTACGAGAGTCATTTACCAGATGGGGGGGGGGGGGGGGGGGGTGCTTTCATGCCTGGAGTGAGGAATGGCCAGAGGAGGGGAAGAAAAAACAGCTTTCGGAGGATCAGAGCAAGCTGCAGCCACACTGGACAGGCCCCTCCTGGCCTCCACGTGGGAAGTGGATGGGGCAGAGGCCTGTGAGTGACAAGGAGTCCCAGGAGGTCACCCACCATCAGGGAGGAGGGAGAGGCAGAGTTCCAGAGCTGTTTCCTACTTGGTGTCAGGCTTGGACAGGAGCCAGCCCTTCATCCTGGGAAGCTGGTGTGGATGGAGCTGCTTGGCTAACACCCATCCTTGCCCCTTCTCCTGCTTGCTCTGCAGCATTCCCCCTTCCTGCATTTCCTCTTTCTCCGTAAAGCAACCCTGTTTGAGAAAAGGGAGCCTAATTTCACCTCAGCCTGCAGCTTAACTTGGAAAAGTCAACATGGTTCTGATGGCTTTTTAAAACAAGAGGGATCCCCACTTGGGCCCAGGATGGAAAGCCACCTCAGCTGGTGGGTGGATGGCTGGATTGGGGGGCGGGGAGGGGAGGCCCTAGAGAGGGAACTTCCTGCATGAGAAAGGGTTCCCTTTGTGCTTGCCTCACAGCTCCTAGAACAAAACACATTCAAATGCTTATTTAGAGGGGAAAAAATGGAAAGCAAGGCATCTCCAGGCTGACTGGTTTCTCTTTATTTTCTTATATTACTGTAGGTGTGCTGTTCCTCTAGCCTAGGGGAGGACAAAATGGAGTGACACGGGAGAGCTGGGTGCAGAGTGGACATGTTTGATCAGATTGCTTTCCTCTCTGGTGGGAAAGCAGGTCTCTGTGTTTCTGTCTATATCTCTGTGAATTACTGTTTTTCTGTGTGCCTGTGTATCTCTCTGTGTGACTTTGTTGCTCTGGGTCTATGCCAGTGTGTACATACATTCGTTTACTTGCCTTTCCCTTCCATCACTCCTCTGTGAACCCCCAGGCCCTGACAGATTCAGCAACTCTAGTGACTTCTAAAAATTCCCCTTCCCGCTGGTCTGGCCCTACCTGGAAGGGGACTGCCTCCCCCTTCTTTCTCCCTTCTCCAAGTTGGGACTGATGGAGATGTATGGTCTAAAAGGAACTGATGGGCAGAGAAGAGAGAGTTCCTCAAGCCTTCCAATCTGCATTACATGTTACTCTGTGCCCCCCAGAACAGGGACTGCCCCTGCCATAAGTCAGCGTGGAGAGCAGATACCAAGGGCCAGAAAAGGAGCTTCCTGGGAGCAGCCCTCTGCCCCAGGACCAGACTCACTCCCGGGAGTGAAGGTGCAGTGAGCACCCTCTAGTGGCCCTGAGGTGTCCTGGAGATGCAGGAGAGGTCCTGAGTGGGGGGAGACAGTAGAAACAGGGGACAGTGGCAGGACCCTGGCTCTCAGTCCCCAGTAATAGTCCAGGCTTCCTTCCCACATGGTGCTGCAACTGGGTGACGTTGGATTTTAAAACATTAAATCTCCTTTCAGTTCCCATCTACCGAGTTTAGCAAATGTCTTCTGAGCACATTTTTTTTTTTTTTTTTTTTTTTTGCGGTACGCGACCCTCTCACCATTGTGGCCTCTCCCGTTGCAGAGCACAGGCTCCGGACGCGCAGGCTCAGCGGCCATGGCTCACGTGCCCAGCCGCTCCGCGGCATGTGGGATCCTCCCGGACCGGGGCACGAACCCGTGTCCCCTGCATCGGCAGGCGGACTCTCAACCACTGCGCCACCAGGGAAGCCCCCTGAGCACATTTTAAACATGATACTGGGTTTACAGAACACTGGTGTGAGACCCGTGAAATCAGGATCCCTATTTTATAGGAAGTTGAGGCTCACAGAGCTGCTTTGCCCGAGCTCACAACGCTGCTGAGGTAGGCTCTCCACCCTTCCCTGAACCCAGCTTTCCAGACACCAGGCCTCCTGCCTGGTCCTGCAAGGACACAGGAACGTAGAGTGGCCAGGGACTCAGAGGCAGACTGGGCTGACGGCAGCTCACAGCCCACCTGCCCTTATGGCTCTCTGACCCACTACTCTGGGTTCCAGCCTCCCCCAGGGCCTGTCCCCTATCCCGCTTCAGGCTTGCTTCCTCCTGCCTCTGTGTCTGCAAAACTCGGTCCCCTCCCTTCTGTAGATGTCCTTGCTCTCATTTCCAGTCTCAGGCGGGCTGCCAGTACCGACTCTTCCGGGCACACTCCTAACGCTCCCACCCACGGGCCTCTCCCTGGGGTCCCTCCCATTCCCTCTCTATCCCTACGAGGCTCCTGACCCACCCCCATCCCACCATTGTTTATTCTAGTCATTTGCTTACTTGCCTTTTTCCTCCATCAGGCCTTTTGAGCGCCCGGAAGTGGAGGCATTTACCTTTTAAAAAATTAAGGAACAGGACTTCCCCAGCGCTCCAGTGGTTAAGACTAAGCCCTTCCACTGCAGGGGGCACGGGCTGGATCCTCTGTCCAGGAAGTTCCAAAATGCCGCGACGGTAAAGTAAGGAAAAATTCCTAAGTAATATAGATTGATTGTGGACCATATGGAAAATACAAAAACATATAAAAAAAGACAGTAAAAGTCTCCCAGAGTCCCTACCACCTGAAGATTATCGTTGTGAAGTAATTTTGGCTTCTATTCCAAACATTTTTCCCGGGCTCACACATATGCTTCTCTTTTTCCCAAGTGAAGTCAGGATCACACTGCAAAGTTTGGCATGCTGCATAAAAAAAACGTAATGTCTTGAGGATTTCCACCGTCGGCCAACATTCTCCCTCGACACGAACTGAAGTGGGCGGTCACCCCGCTGCGTGCATGCCCCAAGGGTAGTGTCCCCGCAGCCTGGGCGCCCAGCGGGCGCTCGGAGACCCTGCCGAAGGCGGGTGGTCTCTGCGCGCGGACACCCCCGGGGCGCGGTGGGGTGGAGGCAGATCGCCGGCTCGCGCCCGCATGCCCAGGACTGTCGGTTTCGCCGGGGATCGCGCGGGGCCCGTGAGCGGCGGGGGCGGGGGCTGGGTGCTTTAGATTTCACGTGATTTCTCTGGATGGGGACATTCTGGAGTTTGGGGCCGACTCCTGGCAGACGCCGCCGGCAACTTCTTGGCCCAGGACCCAGACTGCCCGCGGCCCCGCCCGCCAGCCGCAGCTGTGCCTGGGTCAGGGGGTCCCGGGGGGACGGCGGGGCGGGGCGGGGCGCTCCTGTCAAATTCGGGCCCCCGCCGCGCGGCGCGGCGGTATCGCGAGAGCTCGACGGCGGTGCGCAGGTCTGGGCGGCTGCCCTTCCCGGCCGGCGTCGGCAGCGCAGTGCGCAGGCGCAGCGGGCGGGTTTCCCCAGGCTACAGTTGGGGCCGCCGCCCGCTGGTCCGCCGCCCTGCGCCATGGCGGGCTGCGCGGCGCGGGCTCCGCCGGGCTCCGAGGCGCGCCTCAGCCTCGCCACCTTCCTGCTGGGCGCCTCGGTGCTCGCGCTGCCACTGCTCACGCGCGCCGGCCTGCAGGGCCGCACCGGGCTGGCGCTCTACGTGGCTGGACTCAACGCGCTGCTGCTGCTGCTCTACCGGCCGCCGCGCTACCAGGTGCGGGCCGGGCCGGGCCGAGGGCCGGGGCGGGGACCGGGGGCCGGGCGGGCTGGGCGCGGCGCGTGGGCACCGTCCCCCCGGGGTCGAGGTCCGGGTCTGCCGAGAGCGCGGCCTGCGAGAGTGGTTGCCTCCCCCGGCCGCGTCTTTTAGCAGCTGCGAGTTCAGGTGGCAGGAGGGCCCCCTCCCTGCCAGTCCCGGGGGGCGTGGGTCGCGGTCCCCCTCCACCCGGCGGAGTGGGTGGGAAGTTGCGGTTGGTGCCGTTCAGCAGCTGCGGCAGATGCACGTGGGGTGGGGAGTGAGCGGGCCCACGAGTTCTTTTATGTAATTTAAGGTGTGGAGAACTACCTGCTGTCAAGTCTGAGGTCAGAGGCCCCCGCAGTTACGTGGAGGGGGCTGGGCGCAGAGTCCCGGCTGCCCCGACCAGATTCGCTGCATGGACTTGGGAGAATCCGGCCAATAAGCTAGGTTTAACGCAGTTTTCCCACAGCCCTGAGTGACAATAACAATCATAATAGGAATGGTAGCTAAACCTTACTTACGAAGCACTTCGTCTTAAGTGCTTTACATGGGTAATCTTCACAGCAGTCCTCAGAGGTAGGTACTCTTGTCATCCCCATTGTGCAGATGGGGAAACCGAGGTCCAGAGAGATTAAGTAACTTGCCTAAGGCCACAGAGCCATAGAGGGGTGGGCTTGGGGTTTGAACCCAGGCAGCCGTGCTTCACCCTGTTAACCTCTGAGCAAATCGGCTCCATGGACTTGCGGGTGGCCTGCTTATCCCAGGAAGTACGATGTATGCTCTGTGAACAACCAGGTGACTGATCCTCTTTTGGGTCCGTTTCAGATAGCCATCCGAGCCTGTTTCCTTGGCTTTGTGTTTGGCTGTGGAGTGCTACTCAGTTTTAGCCAGTCTTCCTGGAACCACTTTGGCTGGTAAGAAGTGCTTTGGGAATGACAGTTTTGAGGTGGGGGTGGGCGGCTCAGAGGGTCAGTAGTGATATTCCCGCATCCTTGGCTGGCTGAAGGCTAGTGAGGGCTCTAAGGGAATGAGGCCTCTAGCTTCCTAGATTCCCGCATCTTGAACCTTGAGAACTTGTGCCCGTTGGTTGCTTCTGTCGCAGGTGGAAACAGGTCTCCCTGGCACCCTTCCCATAGGTGCTCTCATCTGCTGCACCTTCAGTAATGTGACCAGCCCCTTGCAGAAGAGGGTACTGGTCCTCAGTGACAGGAAGGGGCAAGGCTCTGGCTCGTCTTCACAGGCCTTTTCCGTCTCTAATTTCTATTAGGTCACATCTAGTGCCTCCCCCACGGCCAGTGTAGGATTTTTCCCTACACTATGATTTCAGTCCCTTGAGCCTTCTAGTCCCTGACCTGGATATGAACCAGTGGCTTCAAGGTAAAAAGCTTTATCTCCTACTATCAATACTCTGAGCCATCTAATCCTTCTTTGCTGGAATTATTTCAGTTTTTTGAATTTTTGTATTCGACATACATCACTACTTTATTTTGATACTTCTTCCATGTTTTACTGTGTGTAGTGTCATTTTAAAAAAGGCTGAAGGCCCATAGTGCCTTCCTAACCTATGTTTTTTGTTTTTTGGTTTTTTTTCTTTTTTTCCCTCCTGTGACATTCAAAAACATAGTCCCTTTACAACCCCACTTTCTGCAAACCTCAGGGAATAATGCTACATGTGGGTGCCTGATGTCCACTCTCAGACAGGTGACAGCAGGCCCTCATCATAGAATTCAGGGACAGTTCAGACCAAATCTGTACTTGGACTTAAAGGCTAACTTGATTCCCTTGCCCCAACTTACCTCTCGTTCTTTCTGTTTTGAAATAGGTATATGTGCTCCCTGTCATTGTTCCACTATTCTGAGTACTTAGTCACAGCAGTCAATAATCCCAAGAGTCTGTCCCTGGATTCCTTTCTCCTGAATCACAGTGTGGAGTATACAGTAGCAGCTCTTTCCTCTTGGATAGAGTTCACACTTGAAAATATCTTCTGGCCAGGTCAGTGTGCCCTGCTTTCCCCTCTGCAGGGGAGATGGGTGGCTTCCACGTAGGCCTCAGGACAGTGACGTGGGTTCACCTCTCAGGTCTAATCTCCCCGAGTGATCTTCCCCAGACCTCTATCCTCACTAAGCTCTTTATAAAGGACAAGCTCCACTTGTGAATTCCGCTTCTGGAGTTTGAATGGATGATATGTTGACCTTACGCTTTAAGCGTTGAAGGACGTAGTGTGTACCATTTAACGTGAAGTCCCAATCTCTGATAGCTGTAATACCAGGTTTACAGTCAGAAGATTCGGATCTGTTCATTTTCTGTGACTTGAGAAATTTCATGTAAAAATTTTATTAGCAAAAACTACTGCATCTGGAACCTACTCTGACACTGAACTTTCCACAGCAAGTTAAATGAAATGTATGTAGTTCCTAAGGTTCAGTAAAGGGCCAAGGCGGGAGACACTGGACCCTTCTCGGCTTCACTTAGCTGTCTTTGTCCCCAGAGGAAGGATGGGAGCGTGTGGCGGGGGTGTGTGTGGATGAGAGCCTGTCACCTCTTTGCCATGACGCTCTAACTGGGCTGTTGGCGGTTTAACGTGAATGGGTGAACAGCACAACTTAGCGGAATGTGTTTTGTGTATAATTAAATTTTAATGTGATGACAGATGCCGATTGCCCACTAGCATGTGTTCTAGTGTTCCTGTCTTTCGAAACATAGGTTAATTTTAAGCATGCAGAGGGGAACTCAGCAGTCCAGGGTCTTCACTCCCCGGTTGTCACCATCCCTCTCCTGCAGAACTGAAGCAGATCACCTGGCTCAGCGCCACGGGGCTGCTGATGGTGGTCTTTGGAGAGTGTCTGCGGAAAGCGGCGATGTTTACAGCTGGTTCCAATTTCAACCACGTGGTGCAGAATGAAAAGTCAGACACCCACACTCTGGTGACAAGCGGAGTATACGCTTGGTTCCGGCATCCTTCTTATGTTGGATGGTTTTACTGGAGTATCGGAACCCAGGTATGGTATCAGATACGATACTGGTCTCCTTTAAAGTTTTTAAAAATATGTTTTAAATCGACATATAATTTAAATATCATAAAATTCACCATTTCAAAGTGTATAATTCAGTAGATTTCACTGTATTCACGAAGTTGTTGGTCTTTTTAATTTGTTTGCCATTGTGGTTATTTTTTTTTTAAGTGTTGTGTTTACTTATTTATTTATTTATTGGCCACGCCGTGCAGCTGGTGGGATCTTAGTTCCCTTAGCAGGGACTGAACCTGGACCCCTGCAGTGGAAGCATGGAGTCTTAACCACTGGACCACCAGGGAATTCCCTGTTGGTCCTTTTTAAATAGGTACACGTGTTCCCTGCCACGTTTCAAGGGATAGTTAAATAAAAGTCAAAAGAACTGATTTGGTCTTTAGCGCTTTTTGCTATGTACTTAAAATCTGGGTGTCCTAAGCTTGTAAACTTTCGGCGATCCTAGGTGCCGTTACCCCCTCTGTCGTACCCCTTTTCTGCCTCTTTAACTTAGAGCTGGAGCATCCCAGTGGGCTGAGGACAGACATGGGGCTTTGGGGAGAGCCCTCTGCCACTCGAGGGGCAGCTCAGCTGATTTTCATTAGAGGCTGCTGTGGATGAGCCCAGGGTCATATGTCAGGTTTAACATGAGCGATGGAGCTTTGCTCTGTCTCAGGCTGCAGACCGAGCCTTGTTTCTTGAGCATTGTCTCTTGAATCTGTTTTCTTAGTCCTAGAAGAACTTGGACAGAGAATGTGGATACAGCTTAGAAAACTCATCACCTCTTTGGGAACATCCAGTCCGGTCCCCCAGGCATCCCATTGCAGTGCATGGTATGGGGGGGCACTCTGGTGACCCCCAGTGGTGTAGTAGGTTACTGCACAGCATTTGTGTGAAAACTTGCAACCCTGAAACTTAAGACTGCCGCATTAACAATCACATTCCCCGGGAACAGGTTGACTGTAGTGGAATCATGTAATTTGCCGTAAGTGCTATAACTAATAAACCTAAGTGCTCTAGGACTGGACAGCTTTTCATACTTCTTTGCCTATAGATCTTTCTACACCGTGACCCAGCACACAAGTGTGTGTAACAACTGCACAGATCTTTCCTGAGCAACACTCACCCTGACTGTGTACAAAACACTCTGTTTCCTATCTTGTTAGTGTTTGTAACGCCGTTTCTGACGCACGGGATTGATCTCCTGGCTCCATGACGGGTTGTGGCTTGAGACTGGGAACCCCGCCCTAGGGTCTGCTGGCGGTGGCGGCACAGGCTCTGGGGTCCCTGGCGGGCGGGTGGGGCCGGTCCGACTCTAACATCAACTGATGGGCCTCCGTTTCCTTGCGTGTTAAGCAGGGGCGGCAGCGCTACTCAAGAGGCTTGCTCTGGGCGTCGAATGGCTTACTGGCTGGTGGTAAAGGGCTTGGCATGTGCTGGGAACACAGTAGGTGCTCAGTAAACAGTGGTGAGAAGAAGTGAGGTCACCTATGTGGGGAAGACGTACGTCCCGGGCGGGGGCCGGGGGGTCCGTTGGAGGGGGCAGGGGTGGGTCAGTGGGCTCCCTGAGCTACACAGAAGAAGCGGGCCGAGGAACTGCTTTCCTGGGCTGCGAAAGCCGGGCTAAGGAGGCGTGGTTGAGGCCTTCGTGCTTTCTGAACAGGGGAGTGATCTGATGGAAGAAGTGGTTTTGGGGGCTCAGCTGATAGCAGTGTATCGACGGCACGTACGCAGGAAGGTTGCGGGGGCCAGAGGCAGGGGGCCAGGCAGCTGTGGGGTGGGAGGGAGCGTGCTAGGAAGGGGGCAGGCTGGGAGCCACGCGGGAAGGCATTGGTGCTTGGAATGGGAATTCACGTATGGGGGTGGAGGCAGGAGTTGCCAGCACCCCTGCCTGGGGGTTGAAATCCAGGAGGTTGCTCTTTCCTTTCAGTTTTTAGGTATCTCTTGGGTAAGAGGAACAACAGAAAAGCGTACGAACGAAAGCTACAGTGATGGGTGTTTAGCCCTGTTGTGAAAGTGATGGTGTGGTTTCCGTTAATGGCACCCTGGCTCAGGGTCTCAAAGACCCTAGTGATGTTTCAAGAGTTTCTTGGGCCCTTGGCAGGAAGTCCTCCGTGGTCATTGGAGAGCAGCACATGCCGCTAGAGTTCAGGGTTTCGGGTCACACTGACCCCAGTGCACTAACCCTGTGTCCCTTCGCCAGGTGGTGCTGTGTAACCCCATCTGCGGCGTGAGCTACGCTCTGACAGTGTGGCGCTTCTTCCGCGACCGGACAGAGGAGGAGGAGATCTCGCTGATTCACTTTTTTGGAGACGAGTACCTGGAGTATAAGAAGCGGGTGCCCACGGGCCTGCCTTTCATAAAGGGGGTCAAGGTGGAGCTATGATAGGCCCTGGGCGGCCCAGGCCAGGCTGGGGCCCCCCCGCTCCAGGCAGCGTGGGATGGAACTACTTCCTGTCGGCCATGCTGCAGAACGGACTTTCTTAAATCATTTTGTGTGTCACCAGTGACTCTTCTGGAATATCACTCAAGATCAAATGGTCAGAAGGCCTTAGGACCAAAGGACCCCACTCCCACCCCGACTCCCACCTCCCCGCTGCCCGGAGCAGCCTGTTCCCGGGCTGCATCAAGGTAGGACATAGATTAAAGGTGGACAAGAAGCAAATAACCGCAGTCCTTGGCAGTGACCCCCGACGCGCCTGGGCAGAGCCTCGGCCACACTCCATCCCCCACGAGGCCAGGGCTGTTAAGTTGTAACCCAGACCCTTGGGGAGAGGTGGGCTCACTCCTGATGCTGAGTGAGGCTCCTGCAGCAGGAAGGGGTACGTGGGCACCAGTACTTGCTAGTGTTAGAAACCCATTCAGAATCCTTCCTTTGACCGAAACACACAAACAGCACAGCTTTAACCTCCCTGTTTCTGTCCTTAAGTGCATGAGCATCTCTACAATTTTAAAGACACTTCCTTATAAGGCACTTTGGCTCTTCATATATCTCATCCTGTTTACTTACCTGTTTTCAAAAACAGCAGTACGAACTCAGGGGACTCGCTTGGCGTGTGAGCCCCACCTTTCACTTGGCAGAAAGGCAGCACAGACACCTCCAGATGACTCAGCTGCTGCTCTGTGTTACCAGGGCTCCCCGGGCCAGGGACACTGTGGGCCCCTGTGGCTTTCCTGGGTCCTGGCTCCTCCCAGAAGGGGGCTGTTACCAGTGACAGGCATGTCAAAGGTGTGTCATTTCTCCTTTATCCAAAAAAAATGCTTCCTGGACACCTGCTCTGTGCAAGGCATTGTTAAACGTTGAGAAATACCGCTCTCCGTTTACTTGGGGTTTTTTCTTATTCTATCATAGCTTATATTTTTGTGTTTTGACTTAAATCTGTTAACCATTGATTTCTATGTTCTGTTCTCAAAATTCCATCGTCCCTAATGCCATTTCAAACTGTCTTTTCCAAAGGGGTTTGAGCATAAACAACTATGAAATTCCAGCAAGCCAACTCAAAAAAAATAGGGCAAATAATCGCAGCTGAGATTTAGTCAGTGCTTTTGTTGTTCAAGTTCGGGAAGATTGGCTTTACGAGTCAAACATATAAGCTTTGAGACCCTTGTTGAATTCTGGACCAGAGAGCAACTTGCTCTCGGTGTGAATTCCTTCCATGCAGTCCTGCAGTGGCACCAACAGAGCGTGAATCAGAGGTGGCATCGGCCCCTGGCTGGAGTGCTGCCACGCCACGCCACGCCACGCCACGCGACGCGGTTTTCAAGGAGCCACTAAACCTTTCCGTGCCTAGACCTCCCCATCTGTAGGATGGGGTCAATACCACCTACCTCGCAGGGGTCTTGTGAAGACTTAGAAGAACAATGTCAAACGTTTTTACTACTTTGGTGACAGAGATGACATAAACGAAACCAGTATTGCATGAATTACACAAAAATGGACATTTGACTCACTGTACCAGATACCGGGAATGTGTGTTCAAAAAAGCATTCTACCAACTCGAAATATTAACTTATTTCTAGATTTCATGGCCTAATTAGTGTTTTTCATCATTATATATACCAAAGAGGTTTACAGGTTCATCGCTGACAGGTGTGACATTTGCTGGTTTGAGGACCGGACAGATTCCAGCCTCGGCCTCCTGAGGTCTCGCAGGCAGACAGCCCAGGCAGCAGCCAGGGTCTCGCGGCAGATTCTTCTGGCGGGAACACTGCCCGGCGGGACATCAACATGCACTTACTGTGTTTGAGGACTTGAGTCAGTGCTAACCTTGTTCTGCAGACCACTCCTAGTGAAATACACTCCCCTTCATAGGATTGCAAAACTGAGGAGGGTGTAGCTGGGGTTTTGGCGGCCACCCCCAGCTCTTTGAGGGAAAGTTCTTTCTTGCTGCATCTAGCAGGTTAGGACCCAGCTTTCATTACCAGTGGGGGTCGTGAAGTTGTCTCTTTAGCAGATGGAGAGGAGCTAGTGACGACCCTGGCTTTGTGGACAGTAAGGCCGGAGGTGTTGGCCTCTGACGGTGTGTCCTTCCTCCGCCGGCCTGCCAGGCCTGGAGCTCAGGAGGCAGGCCCTGGTGTCGGCAGGGAGATGCTGCTGTCACACCACCTGGGCTGGACGTGACATTCTGCTCTGCTTGAAAGAGCAGTTCCACAAGCAAGTTCCCACCCTGATTTGTAACCCAGGGCGGAAGTCCGCAATTACTTGGGGATCAGAGATGAACTACTTAGGGGCAGGATTTGGCAAGTGATTGACTTTCATCTAGCACTGAGATCTTCAGGTTATTTTTACCTTTATAAGTTCAGCAGTGACAGCGCACAAGGAAGAGAATCAGGTTAATGGGGTACAGGCTTTTTGGGTATTCCCGAAAGCTTACTTTGGGTAAAGGCCACATCACCGGTCCCCTCAAATTAAGAAACCGTCAGGAGATTTCTTTTTCCATTGCAGGTTTCAAAGCGGAGACTCTGAAATGGAAAATAGGCACTGCACAGAACAAAGCTATTTTGAAGCAGTGCAAAATGAAACACTTCACGAGGGTTTGCAGGCTGGGGCCGAGACCGGTGGTTTACTGAAACGAGGTTGTAGGTGAGCCTGGCAGAGGGCAGGAGGCAGCGCACCCCGCCGGCCCTTCATTGTCATAAACTGCTGCATAAACCTACAAAGTGAACTTTATCAATCCCTTCCACTTGTTTAGCACTCTGGGTGATTAACATGATGGGGGAACGTCGCTAAACCCACCGGTCGTGTTGACACGTGAGGTTCCGTAGGGTCTCGACTGCAGCTCCGTTTGGTCGCAGCCCCTCTGTGACAGGAACAGTGAACCACTGTCCCTTCTCTGCACTTTCTTACTGCCTTAGATAGTTGTGCCCTCCCTCTGTGTTTTGCTTCTGCAGTGACTTGGTGAGGCCAGGCGACCCCAGCCTGTCTGGCATGGTGCGAGAGGCTTGCTGTCTGTGCCCCGCTGTGGGGGCCTGACGCCCTGTCCTGGGCTCGGTCCCAAGCGCTTGCCCCTGCAGGACTGTCCCGTAGCTTAGGCTAGGAGAGTAACCTAATGGGGTAATTACTCTTCTTTTTACATGCAGAAATGTTTATTTAAATATTGGATTTTCTTTCACAGAAATTATTTCCAATGCTTAAATAAAGCTGTACTTGATTTCACTATGAACAATAGTATGATCGTGTGGGATTCAGAAACTTTTTTTTTTTTAATATTTATTTATTTATATATTTGGCTGCGCCCGGTCTTAGTTGCAGCATGCAGGATCTTTTAGTTGCGGCATTTGGGATCTAGATCCTTGACCAGGGATCGAACCCGGGCCCCCTGCATTGGGAGTGCAGAGTCTTGACCACTGGACCACCAGGGAAGCCCCCAGAAACTCTCAAGGTCTTTTTGCTTCTGGCTAAGAAATGTCCAAGGCCTACAGCGTAAAACCAGATGTGTTTTGCCTCCTCGATTCTGTTCTGAAGTCCTACCTCTAACCAGTTTGTAATGACAAGTTCCTCCAGCCCCCCAGGCTACCGTGGACGTTTGTGATGCTCTGGGACGGGAACGTCTGACAGAGCAGGTGTGGAGGTGTTGGGTACGGACGTGGCGGATGCGTCAGCGTATTGACCTGCAGGCCCACCTGGCACGTAGAAGCCACTCGCCGTTTGAACCACTGAATCAAGCTGATGTTTGCTTAAAGCATGATTCTTTGGGCATCGTTTTGCCTCTGAAACTTTACACTTTAGGTCATGCAGGTTAATTTTCTTTTTTAAGCATTTTGTTTAAGTTCCGCTTGATAAAATGGGTACTGGGTAGGAGTGGAAAACCACTAGAGCGAAGTTGCTGGTGAATCGTGCTTTAATATCTATAGAAGGTGAACACAGGAGAGTGACAGGCGGGGACAGCGGTGGGGAAGTCGTGACGGAGGCCATCTCCTGCCACGCAGGCCACCAGGTGCTATCGCGTTGCTTTATGTGCTCAGCCCTGGCCCTACAGTGAGAAAAGCTGGAGCAAAGGGTTTTCTCCCCTATGCTGAGTCAGCGCTCAGATTAGCGGGGGGAACTTTCCAGCGGCGCCCGGAGAACAGTGGGGCTGTGCGTCAGGCAGAGCCGGATTCCTCTGTGGTAGGGCAGGTGCTGCACAGTGGGCGGGTCTCATCACCCGAAATTCAGACGGGTGCACACCCCACCACAGCGGGCGCTCACGGGACGAGCACACAGACACCAGGGAGGTGCAGGGGCAGTGAGGGGCTTCCGGCTGGACGTTCACTCAGGTAACGTTTTCCACGCCGACTGGGATGCCGTCCCGAGTCACCTTGGTGAGGACCAAGATTCGGGGCAACACGAAGTCTGGCTCAAGCCAAAGAACCTGAAATTGGGACCTGGCAGAGAGTGTCTGGGTTTTTCTGCTGATGCGTGATTATTACACATTAAACAGAAAAGCATGATGGGAACCGCCTTTTCTTAAATATCCCAGCGTTGATGTGCACGTTGTAAGACGCCCGACCTCCGGGAGCAGTCCCACGCTAAGCTGGGCGCTCTCTCCATGTGGGGACGTCACCCCCGTTTTTCGCTTTGGGTCTGTGAGCATCTTTATTTTTCAGTGGAGGCTCTTCTGCGAGGCTGCTCAGGGTCCGGCTGTTTCTCGGCTCTGAGGTCTTCTCTCTCCTCTCCGAGACACTCCCTGGATCGTTCCTAAAGAAACACTTAATGTGAGCTCCTCTCTGCTCCCGTCTCACTGTGTCCCAGCGCTAAAATCCACCCAGGCAGAGGCTTTCAGGACGGCCAGCCTTCCGGGAAGGCACCAGCGGGTGACAGAACCTTAACTACATCATCTCCTAAAGGATTTTTTTGTTTGTTTTTTAATAAATTTATTTATTTATTTATTTTTGGCTGCATTGGGTCCTCGTTGGCTTTCTCCAGTTGTGGTGAGCGGGGGCTGCTCTTCATTGTGGTGCGTGGGCTTCTCATTGCGGTGGCTTCTCTTGTTGCAGAGCACGGGCTCTTGGCGTAGCAGGCTTCAGGAGTTGTGGCTCGCGGGCTCTAGAGCGCAGGCTCAGTAGTTGTGGCGCATGGGCTTAGTTGCTCGGTGGCATGGGGGATCTTCCCGGACCAGGGCTCGAACCCGTGTCCCCTGCATTGGCAGGCAGATTCTTAACCACTGCGCCACCAGGGAAGCCCCTCCTAAAGGATTCTTACTCACTTCTGATGACTTTTAGTTGCCAAAACATTGGCAGTGCAGACCATTTCAGTGGCTTGTGGTGACCCTGCTCTTTGAATTGACCCTCCCCTGAAGCATGGTGCCTGGGAGGGCAGGGCTGCTTTCTGCTCTGTCACCAACCCCGTGGTGCCTCTAGATGCAGCAGACCTCTCCCTGCCCCCAGGCCCTTTTAGCTCTGACTTCCTACAACTCCAGAGAACTACGAAAAGATCAGCCTGTGATAGTGACACATCTGTTATGCACATTCTCCTCTCCCTCTGGCAGTCATTTTGGCAAACACTGTGGCTCCAGTGAGCAGCCGTGCTCTCTCACAGGAAGAACTAACCCTCGATCTCTCTTTCTCGAGTCGCAGTGGCGTAGGAGCCTGCGCTCTCAGAGGTGTGGGTTGGGCGGGCGGCAACCACGGCTGTCCCTAGTTATAAACCTAACGTCACGTCTATCAGGGTCACATCTGTCATCTACGAGGTCATCTGTCTGAAGGCACCGCCCAGTTTAAGAACCCCCCTGACCCTGTATCTTACACACTGAGGCCCAGCTGAGGCCGCAGAGCTAGCTGGTCAGTGGCAAGTTGGGACCAAAAGAAAACCGGAGGTCAGTCTTTGTCGCCTGTATTTGTCTCTGAGATTACATCGTTTGCCCGCTCAGGTTGGAAAGACTCACTTTACCTGGCCTGGGCCTCGCCGTTCACGCCATCATCATGCGTGTTTTGGAGATGGTCTGACGGTTCATCCACAGGGGCCTGAAACCTGCGTGAGAGAAAGCAGTTCCCAGGAATGCGGATGCAGCAGAGCCAGCCAGCGTGTACTTAGGCTCACTGCACAGACACCGAACTTGAGCAAACACTTTGGGCCTCAAATATTTACCGAGGGCCAGGGCCACGGCAGTGGACGAGAGAGGCTGGGCCCTGCTCTCGTGGGAGACCCGTTCTGCGGGGGGAGACGCGCCAAGGTTGGGAAGGAGGCCCAGCGGGACGGATGGTGGGGAGTGACAGTGAGGGAGACCTGCTTTCACTAGGGTGGTTTGCGAAGGCCTCCCTGCTGACGAGACCTGGGTGATGAGGTCCATGGAACAAGAAGAAGCAAGAACATTCCAGGCAGAGGCAGGGAAGTGGCAGCCAGTCTAGCTTCTTTGCGGGACTGAAAGGCCACTGTGCCTGGGGTGTGGGGAGGGGCCGACGTGGGCAGAGGTGGGCAGAGAGGGTCCCAGAAGGGCTTTCAGGCCCCAGCACGATAGGCTTTAGAAAGACCTCTGACTGTGGCATGCTGGAGGGGCCAGGGTGCGGGGCTTGGCAACGGCGGCTTGGACCGAGGGTCACAGTCGAGACAAAGCAGGCGGACCAAGAGGGTTGAGTCAACAGGACTTGAGGATGGGTTGGCAATAAGGGATGAGGGAAAGAAAGGAATCCAAGTCTCCTGGGCTTTTTACTTGAGCACCTGGGGGACTGTGATGCCTTCACTGAGATGAAACAGGAGTAGCATGTTCGGCGGGGAGGAAACCAAGTTCGGGGCCATTGTGGGGTTTGAGGTGCCCTGAGACCACCAAGAGGAGACTCTCCCAGGAAGGGGCACTTGGAGATGAGTCTAGAGCTTGGGCAGATCTGTGCTGGGGAGGGGGATTGGGGGTCATCTGCAATACCATGGGGTTTTAAAGCCAGGAGACTGGGTGAAGCCCCGTAAGGAGAGGGCGTAGGATAAGAAGAATGCCTGGGACTGAGCCCTGGGGAAAACTGACACTGGGGCCTTGAGCCAAGGGGGCAGAGCCCAGAGCCAAAGAGACTAAGAAGGAACCGCTGGGGGACTTCCCTGGTGGCCCCGTGGTTACGACTCTGCGCTCCCAAAGCAGGGGGCCCGGGTTCGATCCCTGGTCAGGGAACCAGATCCCACATGCATGCTGCAACTAAGAGTTCGTATGCCACAACTAAGCAGCTCGCGAGCCGCAACTAAGACCTGGTGCAACCAAATAAATAAAGATAAATTAAAATAAATAAAAATTTTAAAAAGGTTCTCTTTCCCTTTAAAAAAAATGAAAGAAGGAGGAACAGCTGGAGGGGCAGGAGGAAAACCACACCGGGAGTGTGGGGCGTCTTAGAAGCAAAAGAAGAGTGTGATGAAGGTGACAGACAGTTCAGGCTCACGAGTGCTGCTTCGAGGCCAAGGGATGTAGCCCACAGGTTGCTGATGGAACAGGAGCAGATTTGGTGGGTGGGGTTGGTGTGAGCTGCCAGCAGTGGGAGGGGAGGCAGCAGAGGGCAGCTCCAGATACCTGGAAAGCGGTGCCGTGAAGAAGGGTAGAGGCAGCCTCCCTGCTTGCCCCAAACCTCCAGGAGCTGGGCTCCTGCCCGAGCTTTCCATGTGCTGACACCAAGCACGGATGCCACTTCCCCCCAGAGATGTGACTCTGCCGGGGTGTTGCCCCTTGCAGGCAGGCAGGAGCACCCTACTTGAAGCCAGCTGCTCACCGAAGCAGAGCACGCAGAAGGGAAAGGACGCCAATGGTAAGAGCACGGCTTAGAACGCGCACACAGCGTGAACAGGCTGGGTAGGCGGCACCAGGATGTCACCTCCACCCAGAGGCCCCCCAGGATAATCCCAATCTTACCTGCTAACACCAGAGGTTAGTTCTGCCTGGTTTTGAGGTTTTATAAATGGAATCACACAGTATCTGGAGTAAACTGCTTAGTAAATGTCAGCTTAGGAGGACACTGTAACTAGTCCTGGCTGGACAGGGATTTGATCCAAATTGTGCAGAAGGCATGATGAGTGCAACCTCTCAGTGTGACGTTAAAATAGTCATTTTAAAGGTGGCTTGGTAGTTCTGGATTAATACAGCAATTGCGCGCACGCGCGCACACACACACACACACACACACACACACACACACACACACTCTAATTTTTCCTTCTTCCCCGAACTCATTAAAACTAGTAAAGGGACCAAAACAATGAGGGGGGAAAAACCTCTCCAGGTTGACAGCAGGAAAGGATAACAGCAAAATTTTGGAACTGGAGAGCACATAGACAATGGTCACTAATTCAGCAGACCTGAGCGACGGAGGCCCGACCAGTTCCCACCACAGAATCCTCAGGGGGCCCAGGAACGGGTAGCCCCAATGCCTCTGCAAGGAGGGTGGGACTGAAATAGGACGATGAAGGTCAGGATTCCCTACCTCCGAACCGCTGCCCCCACCCCCAATACTGAAGGGTTAGTCTCTGGGAGGGTGCGACACACCGTGAGAACTACTGAAAGACAGAAAGTCAGCTGTGTGTACAGATACTCCATACGGTGACATTCCAGCAAGGAAACTGGGCAAAGATCTAAAACTGACATTGGGGCATCAAGAGTAAGATAAAGCAAAACAAAAAACGCTGCCCACCCAGATCCCTTACACCGAAGCACCGCCCATGTGCTCAGAGCTTCCAGCCTGCTCTCCTCCACCCCAACTCCTAACATGAACCGGTAATTGAAGATTTCCTGACAGCTGAGAAAAGCCTTTAACAGGGAAGGTAGAAACCTAAATAAACAAAATGTAACTTGGAGGAAACAGACTTCAGAGAGAAGGAAACTTAAAAAAACAAAAGCAAAAAAACATGTATCGGCCCCCAAAGGGGTAAGATATTCTGTCCATGCAGCAACAGAATGCTGTGTAACAAGAGCAGTCAGGGTACCAAAAACACCTCTTTGGAAATGAAAAACAATTTAAAACATTTAAAAGAGCTCTTGGAAATTTTCTTCAAAAATGAAGAACTAGGGCTTCCCTGGTGGTGCAGTGGTTGAGAGTCCGCCTGCCGATGCAGGGGACGCGGGTTCGTGCCCCGGTCCGGGAAGATCCCACATGCCACGGAGCGGCTGGGCCCGTGAGCCATGGCCGCTGAGCCTGCGCGTCCGGAGCCTGTGCTCCGCAACGGGAGAGGCCACAGCAGTGAGAGGCCCGCGTACCGCAAAAAAAAAAAAAAAAAAAAAAAAGAAGAACTAAATAGAAGAGTCAGAAGATAAGAGAGGAAATCTCCCAGAAAGTATAGCAAAAAGATGAAGAGGTGGAAAACAAGACTGAAAAGAGATGGTATATCAGAGGGCCAGCCCCAGAAGGCCAATAGCCAATAAGAATTCCAGAAAGAGAAAAAGTGCAGAAAATCAACTAACCAGTTCAAGAAGAAATATGCCCAAACAAGGACATGAATTTCCAGATTGAAAGGACCCACCGCTACCCAATGGACGGGACTAGACCCTCACCAACGTGAAATTTCAGAACGCTGGGAGCAGAGAAGATGCCACAAGCTTCTGAAGAGAGAATAAGTGGGGACTTACCCAGTGGTCCGGTGGGTAAGACGCTGTGCTCCCAATGCAGGGGGCCCAGGTTCGATCCCGGTTGGGGAACTAGATCCCGCATGCGTGCTGCAACTAAGAGTTCACACACCGCAACTAAGAAGTCAGCATGCCCCAACTAAAGATCCCGCATGCCGCAGCTAAAGATCCCACGTGCCGCAACTAAGACCCGGCACAGCCGAAATAAATAAATGAATAAATATTAAAATAAATAAATAAATAAGGAGAATAAGTGGGTCACATTACAAGGATTAGGAATCAGAATGCCTTCAAACTTCTCAAAGATAGCCTTGGAAGTTGGAAGACAATAGAGTGATGCCTTCGAAGGAGAATCATTTCCAATTTAGAATTTCCATCTAGAATTCAATACCCAGCAAAACTATCAGTCAAGTGCAAAGGCAGAATAAAGATATTGCAGCCTTACGCTGTTCAAAACACGTCCCTTCTCTGTACCCTTTCTCAAGGAGCTGCTTGGGGGATGGGCTTCACCAAACCATGAAAGAGGACACGTGTCCTGTGGGAATCAGGAGATCTCACTTTGGAGTGAGGCAAATGGAGTCCCCTGGAGGGTGGTGGAGGGAGAGGCTAGGTTGACCACTGTGTACCAGCCCTACAGGGCAACCACCCTGGGGCTCAGACTTGAGAGGCAGGCACATTGAGGACCTGCCACCCAAAATCCTCTGCCACTGTTAACACCTCCAGTGCTCAAGTGTGGTGCTGAGAGCCTGGTCCAGGTTCCCATCTAGACTCGTCTTAACCGTGTACTGGGGAAGTTCTCTTTGCTCTGCGTCCTGCTGTCTGGATCAGCTGAGGACCCTCATTACACCCCCAAGGTGTAAAGAGATGGGCAGTTGTGTGCCTAGAAGCAGAAACTCAGAGCAGGCTGCTCATTCTGTGTTTTGGCAGATGTCCAGCACCTGGTCCTCCCAGATGCCCTGATTAAACCTTCATGACCTGGCCCACTGACTTCCCGGAAAGGGGCTCTCCCAGAGGTGTGGCACCTTTCCTACGCACATTCTGAAGTGTCTTGGTTCCCCCGCAGCATTCCCTGCTCTCACCTGGGCTCTAGCCACTCCTTCACCTTGGCAATGGAGCGGACGTAGGGCGTGATCTGCTTGGTGATGGTGGTCAGGTAGGCATTCTCCTGCTTCAGCTGGAGAAGGTCATGGAGCTGGGCTGTGGGGGCCCAGGCCAGAGCGTTAGGTCTTGTTGGCTTCAAATTCTTACTCTCCAGCCTTGAACCATCTAAATAACCCAACTATTTCAGTGATTACCTCTAATTAAAGAGTGAGGTAAGACTTGTGAAGGCGTCCTACTTACTGAATCCTGATCTCAGATCATTTGGGGGCCAGTTAGCAGCTGTGAGGCAAAGTCAAGAGCTAGGGGGAAGAGCACGGGGGTTCGTATCTGGTTAGTGGGTAACTGGCTTCCTGCCCCTGAAAGCATGTGGATTAGCTCCAGGACAGGGGTGCGCCCAGCTGCCCGGGACCTTCATAGATCTCCTGCTCGTTAGCCACGCGCTGGTAGGATTCCTCCCAAATCTGAAAGAGAAAGTAAGTTGGATATCGCACGTGGCCGTGAGTTGGAATTTCCCTTGACAGCATTTCTGTCCTCCAGCTACTCAGAGCCATAGGGCACTCCCAGCCAGTTCCCGTGGTTCCAGGCAGCAAAGGCCCAGGTTCCAGAGCCTGCCACACGAGGGCCTCCTGGGGCACCAGGCCAAGGTCCTCCTCCCCCTTCCTGTCCTGGGGTAGCTCATGTACATGCTGACAGGTGGGGCCGCAGGGGAGGGAGGTTCCTCGGGAAGGGCTACCTCCTGGAAGACTGCTCTCATGCCCTCCACGGAAGCATACTCCAAGGCGATCTGTGTGTCCACCTGCAGGGACTTGTGCAGGATGTCACCCATGATCTCGGCCTTGATGAGCGAGTGGTGCTTGGTGAGGTCCCGGTGCAGCTCCTGTACCTGGTCCTTCAGGTTCTGCATCTCTGCCTGCAGGCGCTGGGGGGAGAGACCGCGTGAGTGCCTGTGTTTCCTGCAGGCTGGGTGCACTGCGGGGGCCTCAGTGGAGGGACGGCTTGCAGGCCAGGTGGCCAGGACTAGATGTGGCCACTGCACCTTGGCGAGAAGGGGTGGGGCCTTTCCCCGCTGGCAGGTCCCTGGCCCCCTCACCCGGTAGGAGTTCTCAAAATGGCGGCAGTGTTCCGTGAAGGGTGAATCGTCGCCCTCCGCCAGCAGCACCTTGGTGCTGATGGACCGGTGCAGCGTGGGCTTTTGGACCGGTGACCCCAACATCTTTCCCACGGGGGAGGGGCAGCTGGGCCCCATCAGCACCTTGGGGCCCGAGCCCCCTGCTAGCCTGGGGAGAGAACTAGTGTGGATGTAGACGTGGGGGTTCCGGAGGGTCTTCCCTTCCCCCAGCCTCCCAGCGCGTTCTCAGCCTTCTCAACCCTCTCACCCCAGGCTGCACACCACAACCACGCGGGAGCTCTGAAAACACCTGATGCAAGGCTGTGTACACCCAAGACCAATGACATCAGCAGGGTATTTTTTTTAAATCCTGAGGGTGATGCCAATGTGCAGAAGAGTCCACCAGGATACCCTCAGACAGCACGTTCCCTCACACACACTCGACCTTGCAAATTTGGCTTGACGCCCAGTATCCCTTGCCTGGGGCCCTGGAGCTCTCAGCAGACACATCCAGCTTAGGCATTTCTCCTAACTCCCCCGGGGTCTCCAGCTCTCTAGACTGGGCCCCGCCCCCCGCGGAAGTCAGACGCCCTGCGGCTTCTGGAGACCCAGGCCCCACCCTAAGCTACCCCTTCCTTTCAGGGCTTAGGCACCCCAGTCCGGGTGCAGCGGCGGCGGTTGGGGGAGCCCCTGAGTCCCTCTGTCCACCCCTGGCCTGGATCCACTCCAGGTCAGCTACGCGCTTCCGATCCAGGGCGGCCCCGACGGCTGTTTCCAGGCTGGGCGGACTCTCCCTCCCGCGTGGACATCTTTGGAGCCCAGACGCGGCGCGGGGAGCTCGGCGAGCTGGGAAGGGCGGCCCCCACCCCAACGGGGACCTTGTGCCCGCATCCCCTTCCCTGTCCCGGCGCCCCTGCGGCTCACGTGCTGGTACCGCCCCCGGCACCCGCCGCCCGGCGCGGTCCCAGCAGCAGCAGCGGCTCCAGGCAGCGCGCGAACTCGGCGCGGTGGTCGCTGGCGATCTGGGGGGACGGACGAACTCGCGAGGCAGCTCCAAACTCCGCGGGCCTCCGCCCCCGGCCCGGCCCACCCCGCGGCCCCGCCCACCTTGCTGCTCTGTGCGGGCCGTAGGCGATGTGGCCGCGTGACGATGCCCTGCAGCCTCTCCACCAGCTCCTGCGCTCAGGTGGGTGGGGGCGTGGGGGTGACAGGGAGGCGGGAGGACCGGAGGACGCGTCCGTCTTTAGAATTTCACCTGCCATCCAATCCTTCCACACCACCCCTGCCCCCAAATCCACAGGAAAGACTGGGGGGTCTGGACTCCAGTAGACACAATGCACTTTGGGGGAGAGGCTTATGCTCCCTTCCAGGCTTTGTTGTCCTCTTATTTTTTTATTTAGTTTTTGGCCGCGCTTTGCGTGGCTTGCGGGATCTTAGCTCCCCGACCACCAGGGATTGAACGGGGTGGAGTCCTAACCGCTGGACCGCCAGGGAATTCCCTGCTGTCCTATTAAAAGGGGTTCAGCCAGCCCCTAAATGTTTTGTAGATGATGGTGTGGAAGAGGGGGCTACCCAAAGACCCCCTGGTCCAGCCTCCAGGTAACAGGCTGCCCAGCCCTGAGGTGGGGGGCTCTGGTGTGCAGGGTGGGTTCCTGGTGGGGAGGGGGGGAGACACAGAAGCTGTGGGCACTCACATAGCCCAGGTCCAGGAACTCAGCCTTGTTGGCCAAGCTGAGAAAGGAAGAGCAGATGGCCAGGTGGACCTGTGAGAGGGACACTGCTCAGTGCCTGGGCTGGGTGCCCGGCCCTGCGCCCCCAGCTCCCCTTACCTGGAGGGTGGGCAGCAGAGTAGCCAAATGGGAGAGCTGCTCCTTGAAGGCCTTGTCCTTTTCTTCATACTGGCTGGGGGAGGAGCAGGCAGCCTCATCTCCAAGGGGAGGGCTGCCCACCCCCACTTTGGGGGCGGGCTCAGAGCTGGGTGGTTCCATCTCCCCACCAGCTTTGTGCATCCTTCCTCGACACCCCTTCCCTGAGCCCTGAGCTTTCCTCCTCACCCGTAGACACCTGGATGTCTTGCTCTCCAGGGTGGGCCGGCGCCTGCCCAGGCTATGAGATAGGTGTCTGGAGGTCAAGGGGCAGGGGATGGAGAGCCCGCCACCACTCACCTCTGCACAGCCTGCAGCAGCAGCGCTTTCCTCTCTGCCAGTTTGTCCTGGGAGGGAAGGTCTGCTACTGGCTGGGCAAACTCGGCCCTGCCACCTCCCAGTGCTCTCCCAGTCCCCTGGGCCCCAGCCACACAGCTGCTTAGGCTGGCTCTCTCCAGCCCACCAGCGCTGCTGCCCGGGCCACCTCCTTCTTGCATCTCACTGCCTGAGAGCCCTGGTGCCCTCACCTTAAATGTCACCTCCTGGGGGAAGTCTTCCCTGACGCCCTCTCACCACCAGCGCCAGCCTGGGGCAGGCCCATGCTCCACCTCTAGAACTCTCCTGGCAGCTACGATTGATTAAGTAACTTCTGAAAGCAGCTCAAGACTTGCTGCCCTGCTACACTGGAAACTCCACACGGGCCCCCGGGGGGAGGGGCCTGCCCTGTGTCCCGGGCACCGGCCATGGCTGGTAAGGATGCTCAGCCTGTGGCTGTCTAGTCCCCCCTACCCCTCACCTGCATGCTGCCGAAGAGGGCGTGGATGGCAGCCTCCTCATCCGCCGCGCTGCGTCGCACCTCGTCCACCATCGCCTGCAGCAGTGCGATGGCCTCCCCTGTGGCGGTCTGCAGGGCCTTCACCGCCTGGGGACAGGGCGGCCTCAGCCTTGTGGGCGCGCGTTCTCCACCCCCGCCCCGGCGCGCCGGGCACCCCGCGCTCACCAGCATCGCCTGCTGCAGCCGCTCGCAGCCTTGCACGTACGCCGACTCGAGGTCCACGCAGTGAGCCCGGCTCTCCCTACGGGGAGCCCGCGGATGATCCCTGCTCCGGGCCACCCTCCAGCCCCCTCACCTCCCGCGCCCTCTACCCACCCCTGCATGTCCCGGAAGCAGCGGATGCACAGCAGCGACTTCTTGTCGGTGGAGAACATGATGTAGGGCTCGGCGTGCAGTGCTGCGGCGGAGGGAGGGAGTGCGGCGGTGAGGGCTCCGGCCGGTGCCCGCCCCCATCCCCGCCCAGCGCTGGTCCCCATCCGGCACGCCGCACTCACTGCACTTCTGGAGCACGTCGCGGCTGCGCTGGCCCAAGGCCACGATGTCGTGGCGCGCGAACATGCGTGCCCGGTGCGTCTCATCGCGGCAGCGCGCGCACAGCGGCTGCCCGCACGTGTTGCAGAAGTACGTGGTCTCTGCGTCCTGCGGACAGAGCTCGGGCTCAACCCGCCCGTGAACTGGGAGCCTGATCCCATCACAGCCCGCGAGGGAACTGCAGCCTCCGCACGTCGTGGCTGTGCGTCTTGGCCCCGGCCTGGGGCAGGCGCGCGGTCACATGCAGCCCTTTCACGTAACCCCAACGCGCAGCGCTCTCATGTACCCAGTTTACAGACGAGAATATTGAGGCTCAGAGAATAGGTAAGTAGGTCCAGTAAGGAGCAGTTACCCAGGACGGTCTTGCGGAGGGGGTTACATGGGGTTGTGGGGAGGGCAGGCACTGCCTTTGCAAAACATTTCACCTATAACAAAAACGTATGTGTACGCCTGTGTGTGTGTGAAGCCCCGCCTTGGCGCCCTCACTAGTAGCCACATGGATGCCTACGCCGGCCATCTGGAGTGGGAACTTGGCTGGGAGGCGAAAAGGAGTGAAGACCTGCAGGTGCCCTTCCCCAGGGCTCAGAGTCCAGGGCACTGACCCCAGTAATGGCTATGAAAGCACAGACCCCCAACTTCCTACGTTGGCACTCAAGGCCATTTCCTCCCCATGCTCTCCTGACCTCCAGCCCCTCACCTCCTGCTGGTTATGTCTGTACTTCTGCGTAGCACATATTCTAGAACTTGCCCGCCCTCCCAGACCTTTTGCTCCTGCAGGGACATCCTCCTGGGATTTGGAATACCTGGTCCAGCCTCCACAGGCCAGAGAGAGTCTCGCGTGCCCTTCACAGTCCAGCCTGAAGCCTGTCCTCTGCTCCCTGGTCTTTCAGGATCGCCCCTCCCCAACGGCACAATGTCCTCACTTCCCCTTGGGCTGTTGATAGCTGCCCACAGCTACCCAGGTAGCAGCGGACCCCAGAGGGCTGGCCTAGGCCTGTGCCCTGGCATGCCCTTCCTGTTCCAATTCACAACTGTGTTCTGAGTTGGGCACCAGTAAGCTCTCCCCAAATCGAAATAGCCTTAACCCCTGCAACTATCTTGGTGTTGGCCCAAGGCAGTTGTTTTGGACCTCAGTCTCCACACCAGTAAAATGGGGCCCACATTCTGGATACAGGGTGCCTTAGAGAGGCGTTGGAGAATGCCCTGATGGGTGATCCTCTGATGACATGGCACACACTGCAGGCGTCAGGACAGTGCAACCTGGCACCCTCCGCTCCCCACCCCACCCCCAGGCGCCCCTGCCTGCTTGCCGCACTCCTGGTCGCAGTTGGCACAGCGCACCACGTCCATACCATCCCCTGAGCTGTCCACCAGGAACTGCAACAGCCGATCCACCGGAGGCAGCCCGCTGGGGCCCTTCACCACCGTCTGGTGTCTGCGGAGAAGCTCCAGCCAAGATCCAGAGGCCCCTTCCCGAAGGCTCCCTACCCCCTTCCTACTCCAGACATTCCAGTCTGGAGCTAAAAATAGGGCGGCGGGAGGTGGGATGCCTGCAGGTCTGATGTCTGTAAATACCTCAGCCAGTGCTCTCCGACCCCGTCCCTTTCCAGTCCTAGGGAAATCTTGGGACGGGGCTGGCGACTCAGGGTGTCAAAGGCAGAAGGCTCCCCTCAACCCCCTCTCATGGCATTGGGCAAATTTAGGGCCACCCCGGGTAACTTGAGCCAACATAACCTGCTTGTGTTGACTAAAGACTTCAGGACCCCCAAGTGAGTTACTGGGAGTGTCCAGACGCTGAGCTGAGATCCCCTACTCCAGCAGCATTGAATCCGACAGCACGCGCCCTCTAGCCCACCCTCGCCCCCTGACTTTCTGTGGGAGGCCTTGGGCCATAACCCCAGGTCTCAGTTACCCCATCTGTAAAATGGGCTGGAGCCTTCATGTTCTCTGGCAGAGAGGTGCAGGCTGCGGGCAGCCTCTCCCAGCCCTCTCCACAGGGAGTCAGAGCCTTGCCCTCCCAGCACCTAGGTCCCAGCCCAGCGGGGCCAGTCTCCCGTCTTAAGGGGCTCGAGGCACTCACTGGCACAGCGGGCAGGCGAGGCGGCCGTCGGCGGTGCGGCCGCGCAGGCAGCCGGCGCAGAAGTCGTGGAAGCAGTCCAGCAGGCAGGGGTGCTCGTACTGCGCGCGGCACAGCGGGCACACGAGCGGGGGGCCGCTCGCCGCGTCCAGGGCGCCCGGGCCCTCCAGGGGCGCAAAGATAGCTCCCGACATCTTCGGGCACAGCGCAGGAGGGCGGGGGGGCGCCCGCGGCCCCTCTGCCCCGGCGCCTCCTCCCTCCTACCTGGCCCGCTGGACCACGCGCGGCGTCCAGCGGTCGTGGAGCGGGGAGCAGCGAGGGTCCGGGGCTGGGGGCTGGAGCTCCGGGCGCGGGGAGAACGGGCAGGAGGCGCGCGGAGGGGCCAGACCCTGTGCCGCCGCCCTCCCCGCCTCTCCACGGCAGCCCTGGAAGGTCAGTCGGTGCCTCCTACCCAACGCCCAGCCTCCCCGGGCCTCCCCCCCTCCCCTCCCCCCCACCCCAGGAATTCCCCTCCCGGTGTCCTCTGGGTGACCCGCAGCCGACACCCCTTCCGCGCCAGGCGCCCCCAGCCTCGCGCGCGGTGCCCCCGTCCACCTTCCCGAGGCTGGCGCCTGCTGCCTCGAGCCGAAAACCTGGACGGATCTCGGCGCTCGCCGCCGCTGTGACCCAGGGCTCCGGTTACGGCCACGGCCGCGGCCACTGCTCCCCTCGCCCGGAGCAGGAGAGGCGGCAACGCGCGGCTGGAAAGGACCCCGCCGGGCAAGGGTTCGAGGTTCGGACTGGACCCCGCCCGCGGTGACACAGCCCGGAGCCCGGAGACGCGGGAGCGCCGCGCAGAGCGGGCTCCTCAGGGGGATACGGCCCCGCTGGCTAGGCCGGCTCTGTGCGGTCGGATTTGGGCCGGGACAGGAGTGGGTCCGCGCGGCCCTATTTCCTCGACGGGCAGTCGAGGGCGCCCGAGAGCAGCAGCCGCCCCTCCCTCCCACAGACACTCCAGTTCTTGCGAGAGCTCGTGAGAGGGCTTGGAAGCCCAGGGCTGCCTTTGGCAGGTTGGGTCTCTCGGCCAAGTTTCTGACCTCTCAGAGCCTCAGAGCTGGGGTAGAACAGGGCAGCCGCCCGGTGATGAGGTGAGACTTCAGTGAAGTGATAACGCACACCCTAAGCTTCCAAAATAATTAAGGCCCCACGCCCATCATCAGCGAGTTCCCAAGGTAGGTTTGGGTGGGAGCGTGACAGAGGAAGCTCTGAGCCTTTCCAGCTGGGCCCCCTCTGCCCTTCTTAGCCTGGCAAGTGATTGTTTCACCCAGCGTCATTTTCTCCAGCGTGCCCGCCTTCTCTGCACATGTCACCCTGAGCTCCGGGAAAGCGGCCCCTGTAGCAGTCCCTCTTGAAATCAGAGTCAGGCCCACTGCCTGACCCATAGAAGGTGCTCAATAAAATCTTACTAATCAGGGACTTCCCTGCTGCCACAGTGGTTAAGAATCCGTCTGCCAATGCAGGGCACACGGGCTCGATCCCTGGTCCAGGAAGATCCCACATGCTGCAGAGCAACAAAGCCCGTGGGCCACAACTACCGAGCCTGGAGCCACAACTACTGAGCCCGCGAACCACAGCTACTGAAGCCCGCACGCCTAAGAGCCCGTGCTCCGCAACAAGAGAAGCCACCGCAGTGAGAAGCCCGCGCACCGCAACGAAGTGTAGCCCCCACTCGCCGCAACTAGAGAAAGCCCGCATGCAGCAACAAAGACCCAACGCAGCCAAAAGTAAAATAGATAAATTTAAAAAAAAAGTTATAAAAAACAATCTTACTAACTAGAAAAAACTAGGAGATAATATTCCAGCTGATTTTAAAAAAAATACATTTATTTATTTATTTTTGGCTGCGTTGGGTCTTCGTTGCTGCATGCGGGCTTTCTCTAGTTGCGACGAGCGGGGGCTACTCTTCGTTGCGGTGCGCGGGCTTCTCATGGCGGTGGCTTCTCTTGTTGCGGAGCACGGGCTCTAGGCGTGCGGGCTTCAGTAGTTGTGGCACGCCGGCTCTAGAGCGCAGGCTCAATAGTTGTGGCTCACGGGCTTAGTTGCTCCACAGCGTGTGGGATCTTCCCGGACCAGGGACCGAACCCGTATCCCCTGCACTGGCAGGTGGATTCTTAACCACTGCGCCGCCAGGGAAGCCCGCTCCAGCTGGGAAGCCCCCTCCAGCTGGGTTTTGAAGGATGAGTAGAAGTTTGCCGGGGGAAGAAAGGAAGTGAATTCTAGGCAGGAACTACCTATTTTTTAAGGGCCCTCCCTAGCCCTGGTTCCATTTGTGCTCCAAGTCATAAAAACAGTGGTCAATGTTTGTGGGTCAAGATACTATTCAAAGCTCTTTTACTTGTATTATGTCATCTAATCCTGACGATGTTACTTTTGAGTAGTATTTACTGAGCATCTGCCGTGCACCATACACAAGAAGGGCGCCTAACCCACCAGGCAAGGTTAACCAAGTGCACAAATAAACAAGTACAATAATGACAGACTGTGTTAAATGCTCTGAAGGAAAGAATCAGGATGATGTGATGGAGGGCAGCTGGGAGGGGGTGGAGCTGAGGACACACTAGATAACCCTGGGCAGAGCCCCTGGAGGATGAGAAAAAATCAGACACAAGAAAAGCCAGGAAGAGTTCAAAGCCGAGGCGGGAATTCCCTGGCAGTCCAGTGGTTAAGACTTCGCCTTTCCATGCAGGGGGTGAGGGTTCGATCCCTGGTTGGGAAGCTAAGATCCCACATGCCTCCAGGCTAAAAACACACAAAAAAACATAAAACAGAAGCAATATTGTAACAAATTTAATAAAGACTTAAAAAAAAAAGAAAGTGGCGGCAACAGCAAGTACAAGGTCCCAGAAGTTGGAATAAATTTAGAGGAAGGAAAGGAAGACCAAAGTGGGTGGAGATGAAGGGACACAGGCTGGGGGGTGAGGCTGGGAATGGAGAGTGGGGGTAAGGGTGGAGAGGTGAGAGTGGTTTCATGGGGGTGAGGGTGGTCACCTTGACCCTCTGGTCTAGAGAAGTCATGAGTTCAGGATGGAGGCTGCACACACAGACCTGGGGAGCTGTATTTAAGGATATGAGTCTGGGGCATGCCAAAGGTCAAGTGCAGATGAAGATGAGAGGAGCTCTGTGCCCTGTGGCTCTTCAAGTCCGCGGAGGAGGAGGGAGAAGCAAGGGCACGGAGAAGAAGCAGCCGGTGAGGTGGGAGGAGAGCCTGAGGTTCTGGGGGCCCAGGGAAGAAGGGTCAGCAAGGAGGAGGGAGTGACCTGTGGTGTCAGATGCTACAGAAGCAGGAATAGGAGGACCAGGACCCGCCCCCAGTGCTGAGCAGGGGGACATCACCAGTGACCTTGATGAGAGCTGTGCTAGTGGCTGGGGAGGCGGGGTGCAAAAGGCTCACCAGAGTGGGTTCAACAGGAAATGGGAGGAGAGAAACTGCAGACAGCACACAGAGGAAACTGCCAAGAAATTTGGTTAAAGCGATCGTCTTAGTTCAGGCTGCTGTAACAAAAATATCACAGGCTGGGAGGCTTAAACAACAGAAATTTCTCACAGTTCTGGAGGCTGGAAGCCTAAGAGCAGGTGCAAACAGCTCTGGCTCCTGGGGAGGGCCTTCTTCCTGGCTTGTTGTCGGCTGCTTTCTCCCTGTGGCTCACGTGGCAAGAGAGATCTCATGTGTCTTCTTTCCCTTAGAAAGGCACCAGTCCCATCATGGAGCCCCACCCTCACGATCGCTAATAAATCTAATTACTTCCCAAAGGACTCACCTCCAAATACCACCATTTTGGAGACTAAGGTTTCAGCTATGAATATGGGGGGGACACAAACATTCAGTCCACAGTAGAGAGGAGACAAAAGGGGTGGTAAGTAACCGGGAATGTTGGGGGTTGAGAGATTGCTTTTTCTGTTTTAAGATGGGGGATTTTATCTTTATTTTATTTTATTTTTTAATTTTTGGCTGCGTTGAGTCATCGTTGCTTGCGCGGGCTTTCTCTAGTTGCGGCGAGCGGGGACTACTCTTCGTTGCGGTGCGCGGGCTTCTCATTGCGGTGGCTTCTCTTGTTGCGGAGCACGGGCTCTAGGGGTGTGGGCTTCAGTAGTTGCAGCACGCAGGCTCAGTAGTTGTGGCGCACGGGCTTAGTTGCTCCACAGCATGTGGGATCTTCCCAGACCAGGGATCGAACCTGTGTCCCCTGCATTGGCAGGCGGATTCTTAACCACTGCGCTACCAAGTAAGTCCCAAGATGGGAGATGTTAAAGAATGGTTGAGTGCTGATGCAAAAAAATCCAGAAGAAAGGATACATTGATGATTTCATGGGGTGGGGGGCAAGGACTGCTGGAGTGACATCCTCAAGTAGGCGGAAGTATGCCAGATGAATGCCCTAGTGTTGGGTTGACCTCAGATGGGGGCAAGGATGCTTCTTCCGCAGTAACAGGAGGAAAGGCAGAGCTGGGTAAAGCTGTTGCTGGATGGGTAGATGTGGAGGCAGGTGTGTCTGGAAACTCTCTTTGGATTGCTTCTATGTTTTCAAAAAAAGAGCAATGGAAGTCATCAGCTGAGAGGGAGGTTTTGGGGCGAGGAGGTGGCATTCTGACCAGAGGTGTGAAAACAATCACTTAGAAGATTGTTAGGAGAGATGTCACTCGGGAGGAAGAACACTAAGGATTGTTAACTAGGTATCAAGACTTGACTCCATGCTCCCAATGCAGAGGGCCTGGGTTCAATCCCTGATTGGGGAAGTAGATCCCACATGCATGCCGCAATTAAAAAGTCCACATGCTGCAACTAAGAAGACCGCATGCCGCAACTATGAGTCCATGTGCCACAACTAAGACCTGGCGCAGCCAAAGTAAATAAATATTAAAAAAAAAAGAAAGAACAGTAGCAACTTCAGGAAGTGGCTACCACTCCTAAGGTGGTCTTATTAAAATGGAGACACTTAAAGAACAGGGCCCAGGAAGCTGATACATGAGAAAGGGGTGCTGCTCAGCTGGGGCTGGGGTTTCTGGGGAGAAGAAAATGAGGCTGGTTCTACAAGCGTTGGAATAACTGCAAACTGTATTCAACTGCTGTTTCTGGGATGTTCCAACGGTTGCTACCAGGATGAAGAAGCAGGAGTAGGTGACACCAACAGAACAGGAACAAGCAGGAAGCAAACAGGG